TTGACATCATCATCATAATTTCTGTCTATTTAGTATTTGATATATCAAAATTTTATGTCATTTCATTCGCTAATGATATGTGTTTTCGATTAATGTTTTTTTTTTAAAGATTTCTGTTCAATTTTCGGCAATGATGATGATCTGATTTATTTTATTTTGTTTGACTGATAGGGCCACCAATATCACTATTATCGAATTTGAATTGATGAAAAGTTTTACATTTTTACCAAAAATAATCATAAATTTCAAGATAATATTATGTGATATAACCGCCCATTATGATGATGATGATGATGATGACAGGATTATTTTTAGGATTTTTTTTTGTCTCAATTCATATATTCAAATGGAAATACGGTAGCGCCAGAAAAAAAATACAATATTGTTCCATATAATGAATGAAACAAATGATTAAATATTAATGATGATCATCATTTGCAAACAGAAACTGTTTGCGTGTGTGCGATTACAACAATTAGATAAATGGATTTTTTTTTTTTTTTTTGTTCAAGAGAACAGAAAAAAAAGAAAATTTCTAAACTTCCGAAACACACTACCAATATATACCTGAATATTTATTGAATTCTAAAACAAAAGCAAAAACAAAAAACATTCGATCGATATATCGATAATTTGTGTGTGTGTGTGGTTGTTTATGTGTAGGTTTGATTCTGGTTCATTTCCATGTAATTTTTGCTTGCTTGATTTTTGGATCATTATCATAATTATAATTATAATTATCATTAGTTTGAATTAATTTTCATTTATTCACATTTTCCTAATATAAATGTTGTTTGTTTGTCTTTATTTATTAAATATATAAACAACAACAATGATAAATGATAATAATAATAAATTAAATTGTAATACACACGAAACAAATGCAATGAAAATAAATGACTAGATTCTAATAGATCTATATTTGTGTATCTGTATGGAGGGCAAGCAATCAAACAATTTTAAAAACAAGAAAAATATATATTTTATGTTGGATAAAGTAAACTTGTATTATATTTTTATGATGATGATGATGATAATAATGATAATGATACCCAGAATTAAGGATTTTTTTTATCCATAATCTCATAATAATAATAATAATAACTGAACTGAAATGAACAAGAAAAACAACACAAAAATGCAATTAACGGCATTTGAGAAAAAGATGAGAGAGAGAGAGAGAGAGAGAGAGAGAGAGAGGGGGGGAGAGAGAGAAAATTATTATTTTGTTTACTGCCTTATTATTAATATATGGCAAAATACAAAAAGTTAGATAAAGTCGCTCGATTTTTTCTGTGGAAGGGAGGTTGTTAGTTTTTTTTTCTGTGCTTTAATTCTTCAATCAATATATTCATGATGATAATGTCAACTAATTAATGGTAAAATGATAAAAACCTGTAATATTTAATGAATGTTTTGAAACACAAGTAAAAATAATATATTTTATTCAAATTCCATTAAATAATTATATCGATAATGTTTTTTCTCTATTTTTGTTTGTGTCCGGTATAAATAATAATTAAATCTAATCACGATTTTTAATGTTTTTTTTTCAAAAAAAAAATAGCCCAAATATTCATCATTAATGACCATATATTACACATTTTGTGTATTCATATTTGATGGTTTTTCTGTTCCTCAATCATATTATCATGGATAAAAATCAAAATTTTTTTCTTTGGTTTATTTATAATTCTGCGCATTGCACATACGCAGAATTATTCTATCATTCTTGATCAATAATAATATCCCACTACTATTACCACTAGTATGATGATTTTTTTTTTTTTTTTTTTTTGATCCAAATTCGTGATACTGACTTATGATATGACATTTTCAAAACGAAATGATGAAATTCAATTTTCATGGTTTGTTGAATATATATATTGAACACTCACCACTTCCTTTTTCTCACTCGTCATTATTATATCCGTTGCGTTTCAATTGGCAATTTACGATTCGTAAAAAAAAAAATTTTTTCATCAAGGACTCTATAGAGTGCCGCTAATACTACCACCACCACCACCACCACCACCATCGTCAAAGACAGATCATTTTATTCCATTTTCGTTACTCTTTTTCTATTGCTTTTACCACCATTCTCATCGTCATGATGATGATGATGATCATCATCATCATCATTTGATTTTTAAATTGGGCGCCTGCTCTTTTTCCACGTTTTCAATGATAATGATAATGATAGCGGTATCATTTGTAGCCACGATGATGATGGTGGTGGTGGCCAAAATATCTGTAAGGCTTGTATTTATGTATGCAGAGTCTATTTTCATTTTGGGAAATTTTCTTCTTTCGTTTGCCGTCATTGCAAAACGAAAAGAGAACGATGAGATGAATATATACACGTTTGAAGCTTTAGGTTTTTTAGTTTCTTTCTCGTTATACAATTTTTTTTTCTGTTGGATCGGTTCACAAACACACACACACAACAACAACAACAGCAATAACATTTACATAAAGATTCTTGATTTCTGTTGGCAATCTTTTCATTTTGTCATACAAACACTATACACACATATCATTCTCATTCTCATTCTCATTAAACACAAACACATCGACATCGACATTGGATTTCTGTGGACAACATTACCATCATTACCACGACGACGACGACCACCACCACCACCACCACCACCACGATGAATATATTGAGGATGTGCGTCTGTTGAGTGAAAAAGAGTGAGAGAAAGTAAGAGAGAGAGAAAGAGAAAAAGATACAGACAAAAGCATGCAGAAAAAATTTTGTTGAATTATAATTTTTTTTTTCTATCACTTTTATCAAAGAACCGAATATGAATTTTTAAAAATTGAAATTCTTATTTATTCATTTTCATTTACCACCATAGTTAAAACATAAAGACATACAAACATTTGCATTTAATTCATTCATTTTAAAATCAATCAAATTTTTAATTGAATTTTATAAAAAATGAAAATCAAAGAATCAAATAAAAATCATAATTTTCAAAATTGTTAATTAAATTAAAAAAATGTAAGCATTTTTCAAAGAAAAATTCTCATTTTCTCTGTTTTTAGATTAATTCCAAATTTTTTTTTGTGTGTATGTTTGTGTTCGTGCGTGCGTGTTGGCTGTTTATTATTTATTGTCATTTCCTGTTTTGACCGGTTTTTCTTTTGTTTTATTTTTTTCAATCAGAAAATTTTTTTCTCACAAATAAACAACATTTTTTGATTTTCATCTTGCCTCTTTGTGATTCATCTATATATATAATGATTATATGAGAGACAACAACTGAAACAAACAGAGAAAAAAAAAAAAAAAAAAAAAACTTGTGGCTTGTTGTTGGTTCTCTTTCTTTCTTGCGTTGTGAATTGTGGTAATAGTTTGTGGCGCCTGTGTTCATATCGTGATTGTGGTGTTCATCGTCAGAAAAAAAGCGTATTTGCACGTGTTTTCTCATTTTCATCATCATTTTGTTTATGATTTGAATCATATCTGTTGTTTAAACAAAATTTTAATTCTTCATTTCTGACCACTACATCATTTAAATTTTTTTTTTTCGCTATCTCACATGTCTCTGTGTATTTATTGTCAAAAAAAAAACACAAAAAAACATTATGAAGATTGATAAATGTCATGACTTATGAGTGTGTGTGTGTGTGTGCAAAATCTTTGACTAATTGTCATTAACAACAACAACAAAAAAAAATTTCTTTTCAAGTGATTTTTTTCCCTTTCTTTTCATTTCTCTGTTGATTGGATGTTATCATCATACATTTTACAAACAGACACACACTTAATCATTGAATGATCGAAAAAACAGAACAAAATACCGACAACACATTGACATCATCATCATCATCATCATCATCAATAATCAATAATCATCAATCACAAATAATCGGCGTTTGACATCGAAATATTTGTAAAGAGGGAGAAAGAAAGAAAAAAAATTTTTCGTCTCATTTTTTTTGTTGTTGTTGTTGTCATTTGTTTGTTTCAAATGTAAAAAATTATTTCAATGTGAATTTTTTTTTTTTTTTTTTTCATTTGCACATTTTCAACACATTCATCACTGAATTATTTAACATCTACCAAACAATTCTACAACAGTGATAGATCATCATCATTCTATTCTATTGATCTCAATGGATTTTATTTCATTTTGTTTTTATTTATTATTATTATTTTTCATATTTTTGTTTTTAAATTAACTGTTTTTCTTTGAAAAAATGTGATGCATTTAAAAAACAATAATTTTTCCAATAACCATCATAATCATCATTTTTTTCTGGTTTCATTGTATCGAATCTATTTCGTTGTTTTTTTTGGTGAATCTGGACTATCGGCTCAGCATTGAAATATCGGCTTCGGATATAGCTGCTATATAAATAAATACAGAATAGAAAAAACGAAATAAAAATTTAGCAATAACCTAACAAATTCTTTCTCGTTTTTTTGTCTGTTCATCAAGTCTTCTCTCTCTCTGTGTGTGTGTTTTTTTTTGTGTTCATAGTTTTTCAACGAGCTTCTTCCTAAATATTTCTATCCAAGAATATTCTTCGTATCAGTGTCTGTGTGTGTTTGTGTATTTTTGCTTACTGTGTGTGTGTGTGTGTGTGTGACGTGTGTGTGTGTGTGTGTGTGTGTGTGTGGTGTTCTTGGTTTCGGTCTCTCTTTCCGTGTCTCTGTGTGTGTGTGTGTGTCAGTAAGTACAGTGGAAAAAGGAAAGAAAAACGAAAATTCTTTGGTGACCTAAAGACAGCAACCCGAAAACACATTTGACACACAATCAAACACACACACATTTGAACTGAATTGAGCATCCAATCATTATATCATCATCATTATCGATCGATACATTTTAATCATCAAATTTTGTTATAAATTTGTTTGATCTAATTGTGTCTCAAGTGTTTGTTTTTGTTTTTGTATGATTTGTATCATCCAGAATTCAACATCATCATTAGAATATCAACAAAATACCAACGATCAAATTATAATTTGAATTTCTTCATTTTTCTTCTTTTGTTTCATCATCCATATTGGTCAACATTAATTGAAGAAATTGTCGAAAAATAAATAAATAAACAAAAATGGCCAAAGTAAACGTAAGTTTCCAGTTATTATTACTATTTTGTTTCTTTAGAATCCCGAATTATTAGTGTTTTTTTATTTCCGGAATTTTGTTTGTTGTGTCAAGAAAAACACAAATTTTACCGCCTACACTAACACACAAACACGCTCACGCACCTATAGTTACATGAGATTATTTTTGAAATTTTGATTCTTCACATCATTAATTTGAACTTCTCCGATTTATTTAATTGAATTTGACATTTTCTGTTTAAAAAAACTATGAATTTTGCTTTGTATTGAATTCGTTGTCAACAATTTTTTTATACTAAAAATTGATTCTAACAGATTTTCCTACTCACTCAGTTGATTCATCAATAATAATGGTGTTATGATGTTCAGTGTGTTTTTTTCTTAATATTTGTTTTTGGTTTTTTTTTGGAACAAAGTTTCTTCTCAAATTTCAATTTCAACAAACAAACAACAAACCAGCAACAAAAAATTCTCTTAATACTTTTGTTTTTGTAAGAATTTTAAGACAAATACATATAATGAAAAAATTCCATTATGGATCGTTTAAAGCCACTTTATTTGTTTGTCTGGTGATGTTCCGGTTATTTTCGATCGATTTTGGCTCTTGAAAACACTTTTTTTTGTCATTTGTTTGTATGTTTTAATCTAAACAAACCAACCAACCAACCAACCACTAACATCATTTTCTTTTATTGGATTCAGTCATTGTAAACAATCGTTGATTGATTGCATTAATTTTGTTTTGTTACCATTTAGAAGAATTGCTCATACAAACAAACAGACATTTTTATCCATCCACCATTATCATCATCATATGGAAATGGCATTTGACATTTATAACATTTTGCACTGAGCATCATATTCAACCTAGTAAAACAAATGCCGACAATTTGATTATGTGGGAAATCAACAATTTTTTTCCAATTTATTTTATTTTTTGATCTCATTCATTCATTCATTCATTCTTTTTTAATTATAGCCTAATTATAAATTTATCATCACAACCAGAGGAAAACGTTGATCACTTTTATATATCTTTTGATTTACTTAATGATTTGTAATGATTTTTGAAATCATTGAATGAATGAATGATCTTTGTATATGTGTGTATGGTTTGTCGTCGTCGTAGTCTTTTTTTTGTCAAAATGTGAAAATTTCCAACAATTGTAAATAGAATTTGGTTGTTGTTTTTTCTAGTCTTTGAATTTCCGATTTTTTTTTCTCATTGCTTTGCCGACGGCACGGATTGATTTGACACATTTTTTTCCCATTGTATTTCTAAGATTTTTTTTTGTTGATTTTATTTGTCTCCGGATTATATATGTATGAAATGCGTGATTTGATTCGAAAATCGTAAAAGTTTTCATTCTTTGTCTTTTTTTTTTTTTTGTTTTCGTTGTTCACTCTGTCATGTTTATATATGGAGGAATTTTTCGTTTTTGGAAATTTTGAAAAATTGAAACACGATGAAACAAAATCCGATCATGATTATGATCAAAATCATCGTTCATTTCACAATTTTGATGAAAAAATTCTTCTGATTTTCGTTTGTTTGTTTGTTTGTTTGTGGATGTGATTTGAAATCAAAATATTAATGAATAATTTTTGTTAATAAGATTGTCATTCATTTATATATAGGAATTACGTTTATTGATAGAAATTCATTATTATTGTTGGAAATGAAATGATTTCGAAATTCTTTCCTCATTAATTTTAGATTCTTGGCCTATAGCCATAGGCAGCAAGCAACCGATTCATTATGATTAAAATTCTGATTCATTGTCATCTTATTGATTACAATTTATGAAATGAAATAAGAATCGCTCACGTAATCCATTGATCTGATAATTAAAACAAGTTTTATCAATTTTTTTTGTATGTTTGATTTGATTTAATCTAAACAAAAAAAAATTAATTCGATTCCAAAAATATCCCAAATTGTCAAAGCTTCAATTGAGAATTTAATTTTTGTGTGTGTGTGTGTATGCGGATACAATTCTTTCAATCATTTATAATTCTCAATTTTGAATCATGCGAATTGAATTGATCATTTCAATAGTTGTCAAGGTTTTTTTCTCTTTTGTTCAAATAACCACTTTGTATATCAATCATCAATGATTATTATCACAAGCAATTCAATTCAATTTGTTTCTTATTCGATTCAATCATGCATATCTCCTTGTCCAATTTGTTTCTCTCTTTCTAGTTTTTATAATAAAATGATTTTGAAATTTTGCCATTTTCAAAAAAAAAAAACTTTAATCACCTTGATTCTCACATTGTTCATGTTGTTGTATTCAGAAACAATGATGATGATGATGATGATGATGGTGAGAAACATGGATGATGATTATCGGTTGTCAAAAGTTTCACTTATATATAATGGTTCATTATACATGTCAATGATTATCGTCATAAACATTATAATAATGACATTTGTATTATCATGTTATTATTATTTAGTTGTAGTGTTTTTTTTCAAAATTGCAACATTGTGACTGGAATAACAAAATAATCAAGAATTTAGCCATTTTGGAACATTTAAATAGTGAATACACACCCATTATGTTTGTTGTTTTGCATTTTTCAATGTTTTTTTTTTATTCCAAGTCTATTTTTTTTTTGTTTTGTTTGATTCTCATTAAACATTTAAATGAATACTAGTTAAAAAAAATGTGCATCCAACAATACAATGATGTATATGTATAAACAATTATCATCATCATCATCATCATCATCACAATGATGATGATAATTAAATGAAAATATGAATTTCTTAATCACATATCTTTTATGCAAAAAATATAAATATAATTTAATAAAAACCGAACCGGCTCTTTCTCTCTCTCTCGCTCTAAAGGAACGTTTGAATTGATGATAAAAATGTCTTTCTTTTTTTTCCAAATGTCAATTCTTGTTTGTTGCAAGCATTTGATCGAAATTTATTTTTAGCTTTTACGATGTATATTTAAAAAAAAATCCTACTTACTATAATAATTTGAGATCATCTTGATTTGGTATTTTATTCTGAAATCCAAAAAATATAAAAAAAAATAAAATGAAAAAAGACTAAATTTAGATTTTTGTTTTCATAACAATACAAAAAAAAACCTACATTGAATTAGGCTAAACAAGACCTAGATACAATGAAATAATGATGACGAATATATTTATTTATTTATTCATTACATACGTAAAGAATGCCTTTGAATTGCTCGGAATTGGTTAGAATACACATATGTTTTGTTGATTCAATGTCTTTATTTTGTTTGGTTTGGTTTGGTTTGGTTTGTATAAATATTATTACAAACAACAATTGTGTGATAAATCCATACATTGGAAAAGAGAAAGAGGGTTAAGTTTAGATTAGGCTTATTAGGCCACACAATTGGAATTTCGGTGCATACTATAGAAAAAAAAATAAAGAATTGCTACAATGCATAAACATCAGTTTCAAGAATTTTTTTTTATAATATTTGAATTATGATTGATGAATAATAAGAATTGAATATGATGATGATAATCATTAACGATGATAAATGAAAAAAGAAACAATCATTTGACAGTTTGTTTGTTCAGTTATCACAGTACATAATGATGATCATCGATATGTTCTTGAATGGCAATTTTTTTTTGTTCGCTTTTAGCTATGCGTTTGCCAATCATTGAAATGGTGATTTTTTTCTGCCATTCAATACGATAATGATAATGAATTTGTTTTTGATATTTCAATATTTTTTTTTGTTTAAGTTTTAAAGTTTTTTTTTCAATCGGTTTGAATTTTCTTGAAACTTTTTCCTTTTAATTTTTCTTTCGTTCAGTTTCTGTTGAATTTTTTTTCCAATGTTTATAATTAACACAAATTTTGCCCGTAAGGTGTGTGTAAAAAAAATGTAGAAGAAATGTTTCCAATTTTTTTTTTTAACCTTTAGTCTTTTGGTTATGATACTTTTTCATTCTGGATTTTTCTATATATTCCATATCGAATTCATTCATCCAATAATAATAACAACCATGAAACAAAAAAAATTTCATAATGGGAATATATATCTATAATAACAACAAAATGAAATTCTGAATGTCAAACAAAAATAACCCCTTAACAGCTGGATGAAACACCACAAGATGGCAGCTCTATCAGACGACAGTGTTTTATTTAACTTTGACATTCAATTTCTCTTTGTTTGAATTTGGTAGAAAAAAAAAAAAAATCTTTTCCATTTTGATTTGATTTCATTTGATTGATTGATTGATTGATTGATCGATTTATTATTCACATGAATGAATAAATAAATGAATGTGATTAACATGACACATATGTGAATCTGGTTACACATGATCTGCTTACTCGAATAGTTGACATTCTACGTAACACTTCGATATATTCACGATTCAATTGAATTTCAATTTGATTCAATTTGAAATGCGTTCTCTAAAACCAGTGTTAACATTTGGTTAACGAATTAAGCACACACATACACTTTGATAGTAATTTCAATGAATGAACGAATCAAACGAAATGGAACGAACTGTAACGACAACAGCCCGAAAAAAAAGACTGTCAGAAAAATACTGCACAAATGAAATGATCCAAGACGTGTAAAGAAAATGTAAAGAAAAAATTCAATAATCGTAAAAACAGACAGACAGACAGCCAAAAAGATCCAGATGAAACAAAACAAAAAAAAAGCTGGAAATAAAATTGAAAATGGCACAACTGGAAATAACATTAAATTATGATCATCATCGTCATCGTCATCGTCATTATGATTATTATGCAAACAAATAATGTGGCACACACACACAAGTCTGGGCAAGATGATGATGATGATGATGGGTCGACTTTTTTTTCTATGAAATTATTTAAATTATTTTTTCACTTAAAGAACGAATTTTGCGCCACCATATTCTTTTCGCATTTTTGGTTGAATGAATTTCACATTCTGAATCGCTTTTTTTCATTGTTTATTTTCTGTCAAATTCGTTTCGTTTTTTTTTTTGTTGTTGTTGTTTTGTTTTGTTTGTTATTGTTATTAATTTTTTTTTTTCTCTTGATTATCTAACGGTTTTTGTTGTGATGATTTTTTTCCCAATATTTTTCTGTTTAAAGCTTTCTTTGAAAATGTTGTGTTTCTCTAAGATTTGATGATGAAAAACGATGGAAAAAAGTCTACATTTTTTTTTTGTTGTTGTTTTACGCCAATTCTTTTTGGATTTTCTCTATAAAATAATGTGGGTAAAATAATTTGAAGCAGTTCATTATAAATCTGTTTTTACCTTTTGTTAAAGAATGCTGATTGTGTTTACTGAGTAAATTCTGTTGTTATTTATTTAGATTATTCAAACATTTTTGTCATTTGTTTGTTCGTTTGTTTGGACAATTAATAATGTCAACCTTTGATATTTTCTTCAATAATAATGACTGTATTTCTGAGAAATATATAAAAAAACCGTCATGTGAAAGTTTTGCATTATTAGGCAAGCATAGAGGAATTATTATTTTTTTTACGTTGTTTGTTATTGTAGTTGATGATTTAACTATATGAATTATTTGTTATCATTTTTTTTTTTTTGTGTGTGTGTGTGTGTAGGAAAATTCATTTTTTCTATTCATCCATGAAATGAAATCAAAAGAATTCACGAATCCTTTCTTACATGCACACACACAGACACAATGCTGTATATTCAGATATTCATTCTATTCATCCATTCAATTAATTTATTCATTCGAATCTTTCTTGTTCATCATCGTATTACAAAAGAACTTTAAATTATTATTGACTATAGCGAAAAAAATCAAAATAAATCGTGTGTGTGTGTGTGTGTGTATAGATTCAAGAATCGTTTGATAAAAAACTGTTTTTGCTGTGAATTTTTGTCTAGAATTTTCCTGAATTCATTCATTGTCTATCGATTGTTGTTGTTTGCCAAGTTTGTTTGTGTTTGAGCTTCTAAGAAATTGATATTCATAGCCTTAAGAATCTAAATTTTTAGTTATCTTTCATATTTTACCATATTCAAAAGGAAAAAATGTAAAAATTAATCATATGGACCATTCCAATGGAAATAAAACAAACAAATACAAACATACCTCAATCAGCGAAAAAAAACTAGCCTAACTGAATTGTTCAATCAATCAATCAATCATGATGCTTTGGATTTTCTCTGTAATTGTTTCGCAACAACAATCCATGATTCGATTGGATCGAAATGAATTCAGAGAATATTCTATGAGCACTATTATTATTGGCTGATCTTTTTTTTCATTTCATCAAGAATCAAAGTTATTTCTACTCATTATTTTTTCTTTACATTTTGTTTATTCTATGGCTTATTATTATTTATTCTTTTCAGGTTCTTTGTAATAGTAGTTATACTATTTATTTTGGTTGCTCTTTCTTTTCTTATATTTTTTGCCATTGTTTCCGCTTTGTTGTTATGTTATGTTCGTTCGTTATTCATATTTCCTTCTTTTTTTTTGCTTTTGACGAGAATTTTCTTTTTCTAAGAAATTCTTTCATTGGTAATTTTGCTGTTGTTGTTGTTGTTGTTATCATTATTATTGCAGTTGTGAATCATCCTAGTTATTATCATTTTGTGCTTTATTGCCGTAAATCATTTTATTTCATTGCATAGCTATGAAAGAAAATCATAATTCATAATGAGAAAAAGGCTAAAATTTTGAATGTCGGTTATTTATATCCTAACATTTCATTATATTAATTGAAAGTTATGAAAAAAAATTGACTTATTTTTCAAAAGAAGAAAAACTAATTTTCATTTTATCAACTCAACTTTAAAATAAAATTGAATTTTTTAACAAAATAAAACTCATATATATTACCTGCTACTGCTTCTGCTGCTGAATTAATTTTGAATGAATGAATGAATGATACAAGCAACCGGATCCGGTTGAAATGATTTTTTTTCCTCAAAGATTTTCTCACTATTATCATAGTTTTGTTCTATATTTTGAAATGGTATATTTTGTACATTGTTTATTATTTCGTAGAATTTTTTAAACTTGAACAAAAATTATTAATGAACTAAAATTATGCCAGGTAGTGTCATGATTTTTTTTTCTGTTTGTTGCTACTCAGTATGTAGTGTGATTAGAGGACACTGGTGTCACACACACACACAATCACACACACACATATCTGTCTGTCTACCTAATATCAAATTATCCTTCCGTCCGTTGTTTGTCCGTCATGATCATTATCAGTGATATGAACTCGAAGATTTTTATTTTTTTTTCTCATCTATGTTACTGTTTGGCAATCAATGACGATGATAATAATTACAATGATGATGACATTCATTTTTTAAAAATACTTTTTTTTTATCATTGAATATTTGAATTTTCAGTTCATTAATATTATGATAAATGTGATGTGATATATATTTAATATATTTCTTATTTTACTTGAATTTTTTTTTTGTCAATTATTCTTTGATTCTTTATGAGAATTTATAAATTGAAAATAATCTATTCTTATCAAGGTTATTCAAATACATATTGGATTATTGCTTCATGAATATATATATATTAGACATAATTAGCTATAATAACTAGTAGCAGCAATATACAATTTATTAATGTTGTAGTAGTTTGTGTCCCTGGTTACAATATTCACATCCCCTACAAAAAAAAATAAATAATGATGATAATAATAATAATTTTACTAGATCTATTGGCGTCCAGACATCAGTATCCAACGAATCAATTTTTTTTTCTGTTTTGTTTTTATTTAATGACACAATTTGACATCGAACAAGATCAGTGAGATGAGAAACAAAAATTATTGTTACTCTAATTTCTTTCAGTGTTTTTTTTGTCATGTCATTCTCTTTTTGTTTGTTCAACACAAATGTATATATGGATTACTGAACAATCAATCTATGAACGGCGGATATGGAATTGGATGAACGAAAAAAAAATAAAATTCAATTCACCATAATAAATAACGGTAAAAACAGTTTATCGTTTCAATCAATCAAATCCAGTAGCATCATCATAATGAATAAGTTGCTGTAGTAGTAGCATCAGTATATTTTACACTTTTTTTCGATTTAAACACAAGCCAATGCAATGTTTCTATATATGTGAATATGTGTAACCATGTCTAATGAAGAAAAATTGATAAACTGAATGGATGTATTTTAATAATAACTATATTCTATGATCTGTAATAATTTCATGCCAATACACGAATCCATAAGCATGATGATAATCAGAACTAATAATTTCTGAAACATACACGCACACATACACACGCACACAGCTAGAAATTGAATGAAAAAAAAAATTAAAAACGGGATATCACAATATAACGGGAAGGATGTATATGTGTGGGGAGAGGGGTGGAAATGAATGTTTTATTTTGGTTACTGCTTCGTTATTACTGTAAAATGCATCTATGAATTATCATTTTTTTTCGCCACTATCATCATCATCATCATCATCATCATCGTCATCGTCATGATCGATTCGAATTTTGGTCGATATAAAAACGATGATGGTTTGAGAATATGATCTCGAACACTTGTTGTTGTTGTCATCATCGTCATCTGTAGGTGTGTGTGTGTGTTTTTTTGATGTGTTTACTGTTTGTTTTTCATTAATCTGTGTTTGTGTTTTAAATTTTTTTTAATATTCACATAGCTTGCAAATGATGATAATTCCTACATTTGATAATGTTAATGCCATTATTAGTTTATAATCAACCAATCCTATATATTTCAGCCTAATAATAATAATAATATTTATATATACAAAGCAACACACACACACGCACAGAGGAATCGTGTGTCCTGTGAATAAAAAAAAATTCAAAACATCGTTTGTATTAACTCTATTTACCATAACAATAACCATATACACAGTAGTTAATGATAAGCATTGAAAAATTTGCTAACAAAAAAAAAAAAAAAAAAAACAAAAGCATTCGTGATCCATATTCATTTTTTTTTCTATAGCCATAACTATTTAATCATTTCATTTCATTTTTGGTTGCCATACACAAACTTGTGTTCTATATATATTAAGTAACATTTGAAATAATAAAATCAATAAATAGCTTATTAGCTAATAAAAAAAAATTTTTTTTTGATTATTATACTGTTACTCTATAAAACTTTTTTACCAGGTAACCTAAGCAAAACGATTGGTAAACCTTATTGTGTTATTTTCAAAATATCTATCTAACCATAATAGAGTAACAATGAGATGATAATAAATGTCATCTCTAATATATTAATCATTTCAGGTCAATCTTATAATTAAATAATAATAAAGAAAATTTAAAATTCAAATTGTAATTGAAATGACAGATTAATTTCTCTTATTTTATTGTCAAAACTTTTTTTTGTATTTTTTCACTTCTAATTGAATTTATTTCTATCTTTGTTTTTGAATATAGCGTTCGATTGAATTTTTTTGTGCGAAAAGAAAAACAAAGTGTGTGTGTGTGCCTGTGTTTGTGTGTGTGTGTGTGTGTGTGAATCCAATAATTTTGGATCGATTCAACATATATCCAAATATTTATTCTTATTCTTGTTAGTAGAGAACTCAACTAAAAATCCGCCAAAATCTACAGCATCTTTTCATATTTTTTTTATGTCTTGATTGTTCCGTTATTTGTTTTCATTATTGTGATAGAGCAAAATTCAAAAAATAATCATTCAAAATGGTAATTTTTCATAATTTAGCTTTTATTCGGGATTCAAAGTTTTTTCTTTAAATCTTTTTTCATTTTTAAATTGATATTAATTTTTTTATTGTTTTTCATCAATAACAGGGAAATAAATCCTCGAAAAAGGATACGAATCTCGATGAATTGAAACAGGAAGTGTCGATGGACGAACATCGTATCAGTTTGGGTGAACTGTACAGTCGTCTAGGCACACATCCTGATCATGGCCTTACACCATCCCGAGCCAAGGAAGTACTATTACGTGACGGTCCAAATGCATTGACACCGCCAAAGACAACACCAGAATGGGTAAAATTCTGTAAACAATTATTCGGTGGTTTCGCATTACTGCTATGGATCGGTGCTTTCCTTTGTTTCTTCGCCTATGCAATTCAATCAACGTCTGAAGAAGAACCGGCACCGGATAATCTTTATCTTGGTATTGTATTGGCCGTTGTCGTCATTATTACCGGTATTTTCTCCTATTATCAGGAGGCAAAATCATCGGCCATTATGGAATCATTCAAATCATTGGTGCCACAATATGCAACGGTTGTTCGTGAAGGACAGAAACATACAATACCGGCCGAAGAAGTTGTTGTCGGTGATGTTGTTGAAGTGAAAGGTGGTGATCGTATTCCGGCTGATATTCGTGTCTTCAAAAGTCATGGCTGTAAAGTAGATAATTCATCATTGACCGGTGAATCTGAACCACAAACACGATCGCCCGAATTGACTAGTGACAATCCTTTGGAAACAAGAAATTTGGCTTTCTTTTCGACTAATTGTGTTGAAGGTGCCGCAACCGGTGTCGTCATCAATACTGGTGATCGAACAATTATGGGTCGTATTGCTAATCTGGCTTCCGGTTTAGAAATGGGTGAAACACCAATCGCCAAGGAAATCTCTCATTTCATCCATATTATTACCGGTGTGGCTGTATTTTTGGGTGTAACATTCTTTATTATTGCATTTATTTTGGGTTATCATTGGTTGGATGCTGTCATCTTTTTAATCGGTATTATTGTCGCTAATGTACCTGAAGGTTTATTGGCTACCGTAACAGTATGTTTAACATTGACCGCTAAACGTATGGCAAGTAAAAATTGTTTGGTTAAAAATCTGGAAGCTGTCGAAACATTGGGTTCAACATCTACTATTTGTTCGGATAAAACCGGTACATTGACACAGAATCGTATGACCGTTGCTCACATGTGGTTCGATAATCATATTATTGAAGCTGATACTACTGAAGATCAAAGTGGTGTACAATATGATAAAAGTTCACCTGGATGGAAAGCATTATCACGAACAGCATCATTATGTAGTCGTGCTGAATTCAAAGCTAATCAAGATAATATACCAATTTTGAAACGGTAATTGAATAATTATTTTTTTTACCGATTTCTTTACATGATTAATTAATGAGAAATTTTTTTTCTTATTCACAGTGAATGTGCTGGTGATGCCTCGGAAAGCGCCATCCTTAAATGTATGGAAATTGCTTTGGGCAATGTAATGGATTTTAGACGAAAAAATCAAAAAATTTGTGAAATTCCATTCAATTCGACCAACAAATATCATGTTACCATTCATGATTGTCCTGAAACTAAAAGCTACTTGTTATGTATGAAAGGTGCACCGGAACGTATTTTGGACCGATGTAGTACTATTTTCATTAATGGTGAAGAAAAAGTATTGAATGATGAATTGAAAGATGCATTCAACACTGCTTATCTGGAATTGGGTGGTCTTGGTGAACGTGTTATCGGTTTCTGCGATCTAGCATTGCCATTGGATAAATTTCCAAAAGGATATCCATTTGATGCTGATGAAGCTAATTTCCCATTGGATAATCTTCGTTTCTTAGGTTTAATCTCTATGATTGATCCGCCACGTGCAGCTGTGCCGGATGCTGTAGCTAAATGCCGTTCAGCTGGTATTAAAGTTATTATGGTTACTGGTGATCATCCTATCACTGCTAAAGCTATTGCTAAAGCTGTTGGAATTATTTCAGAAGGTAATTTATTGTTCGCTTGACTATTATGATCATAATTTTAATGGCATTTTTTTCTGTTTCTAAAAAGGTACCGAAACTGTTGAAGATATTGCCAATCGTTTGAACATCCCGGTTGAAAATGTTAATCCACGTGATGCTAAAGCAGCAGTTATTCATGGTCAAGAATTGAAAGATATGACATCGGAAGAAATCGATGAAGTATTACGACATCATTCTGAAATCGTATTCGCTCGAACATCACCACAACAAAAATTGATTATTGTTGAAGGTTGTCAACGACAAGGTGCTATTGTAGCCGTAACTGGTGATGGTGTCAATGATTCACCTGCATTGAAAAAAGCCGATATCGGTGTTGCTATGGGTATTGCTGGTTCTGATGTTTCGAAACAAGCTGCCGACATGATATTGTTGGATGATAATTTCGCTTCAATCGTTACCGGTGTTGAAGAAGGTCGTTTGATTTTTGACAATCTTAAAAAATCGATTGCATACACATTGACATCAAATATTCCGGAAATTTCACCTTTCCTATTCTTTATCATCTTCAATACACCATTGCCATTGGGTACGGTCACTATTCTTTGCATCGATTTAGGTACCGACATGGTTCCCGCTATTTCACTTGCTTATGAACAGGTAATGTATTTCATAATGGAACATGATCGAATGGATAATTCTAATTTTTGAAAAAATATTAAGGCTGAATCGGATATTATGAAACGACAACCACGTGATCCACAACATGATAAATTGGTAAATGAACGTCTTATTTCGGTATCATATGGCCAAATCGGTATGATTCAAGCAGCTGCCGGTTTCTTCTCATATTTCGTCATTATGGCTGAACATGGTTTCTGGGGTTGGATGCTTTTCGGTTTACGTGAAAAATGGGATTCACAAGGTGTTAATGATCTTGAAGATGCTGCTGGTCAAGAATGGGTAATGTTTTTGTTTTGTGACACTGATCTCATCAATATTTTCAATATATAAAATTTATTTTAAAAAACAGACTTATCATGCCCGTAAAAAGTTGGAATACACTTGTCATACCGCTTTCTTTGTGGCCATCGTCGTTGTACAATGGGCCGATTTGATTATCTGCAAAACACGAAGAAATTCACTTGTTCATCAAAAAATGAAGTAAGAAATGTTCAAGTTTCCTTTATTCTTTAACTCTAATACTTTTTTATCACCATTCTTTTCAATCTCAAAAAAAATTAAATAAAGAAATCATGTGCTCAACTTTGGCCTTTGTTTCGAAACTGCATTGGCTGCTTTCCTTTCATACTGCCCAGGCATGCCTATCCTACTTCGACTATATCCTCTCAAGTAAGTGATCAAAAATAAGAAAAAACAATCAATTTTTCATAAAAAAGCATTCTCACAATCCACATGAATTAAAATTAATTATCAATGTTTTCTACTTTTAAAAATAGATTTACCTGGTGGCTAGTGCCGATTCCATTCTCTTTATTGATTTTTGTCTATGATGAAATTCGTCGTTTCATTTTACGTCGCAATCCTGGTGGTTGGGTCGAAAAAGAGACTTATTATTAGACATTTTTCAATACAAATACAAATACAATACAAAAATCCACTTAATCCATATTTGTACACACACACACACACCATTCACACCTATCAATCAATTACAAAATTCAGATCAGAAAAAAACAGTTACCTGTCATATTTCAATAATAATTATGATGAAAATAATAATAATAATAATAAATCAACAACAGCCCAATTGATTATTGTGAAATTTATGCAATGTTGTTTTTATCATCATCATCTTAAACAATGATGAAGCAAAAACAAAAAAACACACAAGAATATATTCGTAATTGATGAATTTTATAATGGCAATTAATTATTAACTTAATTTTTCTCGATTCAAATTATTAATTGATTTAGAAAAAAAGAGCAAAAAATTTATTCTGCAAAAAAAATTTGATAAACAAATCAATCGAATCGATTTAAATCAAATCAAATCAAAAACATCATCGTCATTCAAACATCTCAATGCCATTATTATTATTACTCCACAGATATAAACTATATTATTGTTACAACTCGATTCTTAATTCTGTGGATTGAATTATTATTATTATTATTATCATTGTTATTATCAATCAATCAATTGAAAACCATTTATACAACCAGAAACTTACACAGACACACCTATCTAAACTATAGATTTATATTTAAAAAAAAATATAGAAAAAATTCCGGAAATTAGAACTATACAAAACACATTAAGTATAAGTAAACATCATCACTAGTCATTCAACATTCATCATCACAGAATACATAAACCAACAGAAAGATTGCAAACAGAAAGAAAAACTTATCAATTTTATTATTATTATCACATTATCATCATTCATTATTATTATTATTAATTATTATTTACTGGAATATATTGTTCTCGTTCTTCTTGTTGTTGTTACAATACAAAACAAAACATTTGAAATTTCTTTTACGTTATTGTGTTTTTTCGTTTTGTTTTGTTTTATTAATTTCATTTTTCATATAAAGGTAATTCATGTAATGTGAATGAATTACAAAATCATTATAAACACACACACACACACAAGCAGCATTGTATAGACATAATAACATAAACGCCTTCCACCAATTATCAAAAGAAAAGAAAATTATCATTCATTGTTGTTATTTGAATTTTAATAATAATAATAAGAAGAAGAAGAGGAATAAATCAATGAATAAGAATGACACACATTGCACATATATATTCATTGATGATTGATCCATGTATTAATAATAATAATAATAATAACCAAATGTTCATCTAAAACCAATGATTACTACCAACACCCACATACATATACATGGCTTTTGGAACATAAATTAATCAAACAAAATTATTGTTAATTGAAAATTTAAAAAAAAAAAATTTTAATCTCACATAATCAACCAATTCAATTATGCACATTGTGACATCATCAACATCATCATCATCATTCGCAAATAAATTGAATTTCAATATCATCATAAACATTATTGATAAAAATTATAGACAACATAACTTGAAAAAATTTTAATTTATCAATAACAATTCTTGTGACAAACACACACACACACACATTTGTTATATTTATATGAAAATCAGTTAATCATCCTTTTCTGTTTCACTGTGGTCAATTTTTTTTTCACTTGTTTAAAATATCTAAAATATTTACAGACACACAACACACATTAGATTATCATTATTATTCATACAATGAGAGAATTTTAACAGTAAAAAATTTATTATTCATCTTGTTATACGCCCATAATGTTTTATTGAATTTCTTTTGGCAAAAAAAAACACACACACAGAATTATTGTGAATGACATTCAAATGGGAAAAAAACCCACACCCACTCCATTTTACACACATCAATTCCAATGCAAAATTTATTCATCATGCATAAATTGTTTATTGAAAAAAATTTTTTTGAAGCAAAAAAAACATGAAAATCACCATGTCACCGGCAAAAAAATGTTTAAATATAAATTCTCAAGTGATAATTATTGTAATTTCAAATCCACAAACACACTTACGCAAAAATAACAAATAATTTGAATAATTTCATTTCATGATTTCATCATTTTCATTCATCAACAACTACCATCACCATCATAACCATCATCACAAAAAAAATTCATCTAGTGAATGATTCTACTATGGTTCATTCATTCATCTGATTGAATTCGATTCGATTCGATTCGATCAGCTCATCACATCATTATCATCCGTTCCATTACAAATGAAGAAAAAAAAATTCATTCAATTCATTTCTCATTACGATCATAATTATCATCATCATCGACAATATATATGACTTCCGTTTAAAAAAAAAATTTGAATAATTTTTACACAGCTAAATAATTAAATATACAAACACACATACACACACACGCACGCACGTACAGAGGATATTAATGCCTAAAATCTAATTTCGTTTCAGATGATAATGGTAAATTTTTCTGTTTATGTTTCTTTTATTATTGTTGTTTTTTTTTCTATTAAATTGATAATAATTTGTGGCCTCTATATATTTTAGACAATATCTAACATATTATATTTAGTTTTCAAACAAACAAACAAAAACTAAAATTCTGTCTGCCCAACCTCATTGAAACAAAATCAATCAATCAATTTCACACACACACACACACACATACAAATTTTCCTATATGTTTCCGGTTGCTCATTTCATCATCATTATCATCATCATTTATTCATTCAAACTATTATTAAATTGATATCATTATTTCTGAAAAAAAATGAAAAACTTTTTTTTCCCAAATGAAAAGGATCCATAATAATAGTATATCATCGAGATAACGAAAATTGTATCAACATTTTCACCATCATCATCATTACCATCGATTACAAAACAAAAACGATGGATTCTTGAAATTAGGGAATTACATTCACACACACAGGTATTATTAATTACAATAATCGATCGGGCAAATCCAATGTATGTTGTGTGTGTTAAATCATCAATCAGAAAAAAACATCAAACACACATACATACACACACACAACACACCATGTTCTATATAATAATTATATTATAGGGGAAAATATTAAAAACAATAAAATTTTTTTCTTTTTTTTTCTTGTAAAATTCAAAATTTAATTTTCTAAACTCGTTTTATTGAAATATCCGATGATTCGGTATTTTATTCGTTAATTTTTTTTTGCCTTTCTTGCTCTGTATGTGTGACACGTCGAACAATTAAAATAAAAATAAAAATGGTTGATTATAGTCGTTGGAATCGTATTGAAATATCCGATGATGAAGATGATACACATCCAAATATTGATACTGGATCATTATTTCGTTGGCGACATCAGGCCCGTCTAGAACGAATGGAGAAACATCGTCAAACTAAAATGGATATTGAAGGTCGATTACAAGAAATTGAAAAGAAATTATCCGAATTGAATCATAATGATGATGATGAAAAAAGAAAGAAAAAGAGAAAATTCTGGAAGAAAAACGTAAAATTGATCAGGATCTTTCCGAATGGAAACGTATTGATCGATTACAACCATGGAATGTTGATACCATTAGCCATGATTCATGGAGTAAAACAATTATTAACCGAAATGTTATCGAATCAAATAATAATGAAATTCATCAATCTAATAATAGTGATGATGACGATATAGATGAAATAAATGATGTACAAATGGATCAATATGCTAAACACTTGGAACAATATGAAACAGTTATACGTGATTTTGCATTCCATTCACGTTTTGATGATTCACGGCGATTTTTGTTGGAAAACGCAAATATTGTATGCCAACATTCATTAGATTATCTATCACTATGGTGTATTCAATTGAAGATTGAAGAACGTACAACCCTATTGGAACATATTGTTCGCCAAGCTGTATTGATACAATTAATTCTTGATCTATCTAAAACGGTACGTGGTACTGATCCACGTGATTGTTTGCCAACATTTTTTAGTAAGGCACGTGAAAATTGGCTAAAATTTGAACAATTATGGGAACAAGAAATTGCTGATTTTCATAAACGTATACAAACAGCAGCTGATATGCGTATAGAACGTGCCATAAAGGAACAATCGGAAAAACCAGAAGAAAAGCTTATTGGTCCAGGTGGTTTAGATGTACAGGAAGTTTTTGATTCACTGCCAGAACCATTGCAAGAATGTTTCATAAAACGTGATATACAAATGTTGAAAGAAACATTAGAACAAATGAATAGTGATGAAGTTGAATATCATATGAAACGTTGTATTGATGCCGGTTTATGGCTAACTGAACGTCCAGAAGATGATGATGAAAAACGTTTACGACAATTGCGATCAGAACTCGAAACAAATGTTGATGAAAATTCAAATAAACATTCTGAAAGTAGTGAAGATTTAGAATAAATTTGATTGGAAAAATTAAAATGTTTTTTTTTGAACTATGTAAAAAGCTTTGTGTATGATATGAACTTTTAATAATCGATATGTAAAAATAATTTTGTAAAACTAATCAAACGATAATGTTTATCATAAAGTGGTACAAAACGATAACCTTTACGAATAGCATTGAATGATATGAGATAATGAGCAAAAAAATTATCATGATTTGTCAATGTAAAATGTACGAATGTAAGTTCAGGTTGATCGATCGGGAAATCAAATGTTTCATTCCATACAGGATTGAAACCATTATGATTTTTTTCGGTTACTTGACGATATTTTCGGTGGCCACAATAAACACGAATAATAATTTTCAGATGTACTTTTTGACATGCAAACATATTGTCAAAAGTGTTCCAAAATTGACCACATAAAACTTTTACACGTAATTTTATCAATGGTTGTTGTTTCATTAATGATTCATCATCATCATTGGAATCATAACGAAGATGAGTTGGTTTCAGCACATAACCACATTGACCATTTAATGCAAATAATGCATTATTTAGAAACATTGGTAATGTAGAACGTTGATAATTTAATGCGACTAGCTGTGCACCAGAATTCCAATGATCCAATGGCCAATAATTACTGGAATTTTGTCTCCAACCACTTGGATAAACACGTACCATATGATTTTTTGTAAATTCACGATATTCATCCACTTTTAATTCTATTAATTCTAATGATTGGCGTTCATCACGTGATATCATATGATGAAATTTGACTAATGTACAAAAAGGAATGAGTTTGATACATTATAAATCAATTGATTACAAAATAACTTACAATCACTGAGACATTCACTCATGGAATGAAATTTTCTTGTTTCAAAATAATTAATTAATGATGAAAATGATTCATCCCAATGATGGCCCTGAAACAAAAATTAATCAATCAATTAAATATCAATAGATTTTATCAGTGACAGGATTCTTACAGAGCTTTTTGCCGCTATAATATTATCACCCTCATCGTATTCATCTTGAACATTGAAATCATCATAATTAGAAATGATTCTTTGATTCATAAGATTCGGTGGCCGTATCCGGATGATAGGAAATCCATATCGTTTATCCAGATAACTTTCATCATCTTCTTCAACATCATTTTTAATGATAACAACTGGTTCATGACGTTCACGTTTTGAATATTTTTGCTGTTGTATTTGTTCCAGATGATCACGTCGACGATCACCCGATACCAAATAGATATCCATAATTCCTAATGGTAATCGTCTATCAAAATCAGTTTCTGATAAAAAATGTTTATTTAATGATTGATTTTTTGAACATTTTATAAAAATTTTTCCACGCATCTGTTCTGGTGATGGAAATCGTAGACAATCATCCGAAATTGGTTCAATGTATAAACGATCTTTGAAAATAGCATGCATTAAATTGGCAATGCAACGATGATTTTCAGTTTGTTTACAACGATTTTCTATAGATATAATCAATGGATAATCAGATTTTTCAAATGCAACACTATTAATCGTTTCCAATACACCTTGTAATTCAATTTTTGTTGTCAATGTATAGCCATGATAGATAACGGGACGTGTCGTACCCAGGCCACCATTACCAACATCATCCCAAAGATCAATTTCTATGCATCGACAACCGGTTAATAGAATTTTTCGATACATTTCATAACTACTTTCCGATGATAATTGATTACCACTTAGATAAGAATTATGTGATGATGCAATAAAATAATCGGTCATTGGTCGTGTCATATCCTGACAAATTTCTCGTTGATCATAATCAAATAATTCAGACCATTTTGGTGTTTCCATTATATAATAGAATGCACTACGCGTAATAAATTGCTGTCCCTGAAATTCTTCACTGAATTCACTCATTAATTCGTTTAATTCATCTTCAGTGAGTCGTTCATTTTGCTCTTCAATAAAGAAAAGGCTCAATCCTTCACGAGATATCATATCGCGACCGGAAATTGAGTATCTATGTTGTATGAAATTGACAAAAGTTTTTTTTCGAAAAAAATTGAACGAAAATTCAGATATTCAAAATTCGTACTTGTTGAATAAAAAATTAAAATATGGTCTCCGATCAAATTGATTAATAAGATCGAGTAGTTCGGATTGATTTTTCGACTTTAATCGGCCATTTATTCGCTATTTTTTCCGGACGGAAAAACCAAAACAAACAATCATTAATGATTAAGCTAATTGATTATCAACATACCATAATTAGTTGAAAATAACGTTTATCGATATCTAGATTTAAACGATAAAGAAATTTCTGAAATCGCCGCTGTAATCGCCGATGATTGGTGGCAACGGTCTCTTCTTCATCCACTTTTTGGTCAATCATGTGCATGAGGATTTTGCCTTCTTTGACTAGATATCGTCGATATAAGAATTTTAGCATTCTAACAAATAATCGTTTAAAAATCTTATTAATCAAAACAAAATTATAGAAACTTACTCATGATGAGTTTCAAAACTATGTAATTGCTTACATTTGGCAATCTTTTTCTGCATTTCATCCATTATAAGTTGTTGAAATAAATGAATATTTTTTGTATAGAAATCCCAACTATAACATAGTAATGGATGATCATCACGTTTGATAATCAATGAAAATGATTGTGAATTTTCAATATCCAATAATTCGATCATTTGTACATCACGTTCAGTTTTATTTGTTTTACCCTTTAATTTCATACGAAATGTTATCCAGTTATCTGTTGTTTGTCCGATACGTATTTCTTCAATCTTCAATAATGGGATACGAATTCTGTGATTAGACATTGATATAAATACATAATGATCATTGAATACTATGTTTGCTTCTTTCATTGCCATTTTATCCACATTAACAACCCAGAATTGTCGTTGTGATCGAAGATGTGTTAGACGATAACGAAAAGTTTTTCTATTCATTGTAAAAGGTGTTTTTTATTTTTGTTGTTGTCATTTAGTGGTGGGTAGATTTTTTTGCTGACTAAATAAATTGATTGATGATGACTAAACTTGGTTTTTATTTTTATCACTTTAAATGAGTTTTTAAGTGAAACATAATCAAACAATGATGCCGCTAATTTAATTTAATTAAAGAGAAATTGAGTTATGTTAAATGGTGTTTTTTTCTGATTATTCTAAAAACAGATAAGATAAAAAATGATTTAATTTAATTTCTTTTTTAATACACAATAGAGGTTACCATAGCAATTAACGAGAAGAAATCAAACATTTGATAATGATAACATTGGTGATGATTAAAAAAAACATGTATCATGGAATTCCATTTAATGACAAAAGAAATAATTGAAATCGATCAACAACAACAACAAAAATTCAAATTGATTGGCGGTGATTATTATTCAAAAAATTAAGGCTCCTCCTTCTCCTTGATTTTTACATCGAATATTAAAAATCTGTGGACAGCGTTTATAATTAAAAAATTAAAAAAAAAATTGTGGTCGTAGTCTTCTCCAAAAGAACTCATCATCATCATCAATGATCATAACAATGTGACATGTGCAAAACATACACAGCTGCAATGTCTATTTCGACCTTTATGGTTTCTATTTCCAATAACATTTGAAAGCCACGCGCACACAGATGATTGTTATAAAAAAAACTTTTTAAAGAAAAAAAATTATCTTCGTATCATCAAATTTGCGATTGATTCTCTCATTTATGATTGATACTATTATAGTATACATGTACCCTGATGAGCAGTTGTCTGTGAACATTTTCACTTGAATTGTTTTTGAGAAACTTTTAAAATTGAAAATTATAATAATAAAAATGAGTGGAGTACAAGCTATTAAAGGAATGGTTGCATTAGTAACCGGTGGTGCATCGGGTATGTGATTAACTGATTCATTACTAAATATTTTATTTATATATGTCATTGTTCTTTGTTTGGTTTAGGTCTTGGACGTGGTGTTGTTGATCGTTTGATTCGACAAGGTGCAAAAGGTGTCGTAGCTTTGGATCGTAATCACGAAGAATCCAAATACGATAATCCAAATGTATTGCCAATAACGGCAAATGTAACTGAAGAAAGTGAAATACAAAAAGCATTGGATGCTTGTAAAGAAAAATTCGGACGTCTTGATGCCGTTGTCAATTGTGCTGGTGTTGGCATCGCTCGACGTACTTATGATTTCCGTAAAAATCAACCACATTCATTGGATGAATTTCAAATGGTTATTGAAATCAATATGATCGGTACATTCAATGTATCACGATTGGCTGCCGGTATGATCGGTGCAAATGAACCAGTGAATGGTTTACGTGGTGTCATCATCAATACAGCATCGGTTGCTGCATTCGACGGTCAAATCGGTCAGATTGCATATTCGGCTAGTAAAGGTGGTATTGTTGCTATGACATTACCAATGGCACGTGATTTTGCACCACATGGTATACGTGTAATGACTATTGCACCCGGTTTATTCGATACACCATTATTGGCTGCATTACCTGAACCAGCTCGTAAAGCATTAGCAGCAACAATTCCATGTCCATCACGTTTGGGTCATGTTGATGAATATGCACATCTTGTACAGGCAATCATTGAAAATCCAATGTTAAACGGTGAGGTTATCCGATTGGATGGTGCTTTACGTATGCAACCTTGAATTGTTTACAGAAAATCAATCAATCAATTTTATAAGAATAATAATAATTCCGCCAATTACTTTTTTATATAATGTTTGTTTATGGGCTTTCTTTTATATAGAGAAAAAACAATTTCAAATAAAAGCGATATGAATGATAGTTATGGAAATAGATTTACAGATCAATAATGATTAGAGTATTTTTTTTGTTGTTGTTTTTTCAATAAATACAAATAATGTTGTCAGAAATATTCAAATTTCAGAATTTCATTGAATCATCATTTCATTAATGTTCTATTATAATGATTATGTACTACCAGTATTATTACCAATCGATTCAAACATGGCGACACTTGTGAAAAAGAATGAACGTAATTTTGGATCTAATAATCGTTGTGAAGTGTTTGCATTGGTTTTAAATTGATTTAATGGCTTCAAATAATCACAACGATCGGTTTGTTCATTGTAATCACCACAAGAAACATTAATCATATCACCATTTAATGATCGAACAAGTTTGGCAAATTCTTCACGACGTTCTTCGGTTGCACAAGATAATTTCGATAATTGATTATCAAAACATTTCATTAGATCGACAAAATAGCTATTATAAATTGAATATAAAGAAAAATGAGTTTACAAAAAAAAAAAAAATTGGAAATTATTCAAATGTATATACATACCAACAAGTATGATAGATTTTTTCACTATTCATCTGATATTGAACAAGATTACGAACTTTCATTATAAATTGTGATAAACATTTATCTTGTGGTAGATATATATTTAAACATGGTGCAATTGATAATAATTTTTGTAAACGTTTTGTTTTACGACGGCCACCACCACCACCACCAACGTTACCACAATACATTTTCATTGTACGTTTATTACTATAGACAAATATTTTGGCCATATTCTGTACATCGGATGTATAACATTCTTTTGTAAATTTATCCAAATTATCTAAATGACGTGCAGTATCGCTGTTGTATTAAAAAAAACAATTGATGATAAATTTATTATTTAAAATTTAAATTACAAAAGGTCAATAAAACTTACTCGCAAAATTTTTTCACATCTTCACGTTTAACAGGATATCGACGATTTGAACCAAACATATTCAAAGCAATTGATGAATGATCAACCTGATTGACACGTTTTTCATTACATTCAGGTTTTTCGGCCAAAAATTTCGCAATCGTCATCATTGACATTGTTGAAATGATAATGACCGAAATGGATAATGATAAATTTCTTTGATAAATCACATTCATATTGATATAACTTTATTATTATTTAGTGATGCAAAAAAGAAAACTGGATATGAAATGAATGAACAATTTTCAAATGAAAAAATAAAAAAAAACGAAAAAACGAATTTTTATTTTGAAAAAATTAAGAAATCAGGTAATAGCAACAATTTTTATTCAATGAATAAATCAAATAAAATGATCAAAAATTCAATCAAATCATTCTATTCATCCACTATATATGCTGTTTATTTTGCGATAACAAATGTACTAGTACGACGCTCAAAATATGCACACAGAATGAATTCTGAAGGGGAGAAAATTGTTTTGCAAAAAAAAAATAAAATAAAAATGATAACGTCAATGTAAGAAAAAAATCTTTTGACATGTAAAGTGTTGATTCAATCAAAATGATCATCAGAATAAAATAAACATCAACGACAACCAAATGAAAATGTTTTGACATTTAAGTACACTGTATATACCAACATCATCAACAACATCATCGTTATCATCGCCACACTACTACCACCATTAATCGTATATGACAAATTTTTTTTTTTTCGTCACGTATATAATCATCATTATCATTATCGATGACCTTTCCAAAAAAAAAAAAAAAAAAAATAAATAAATTTTTTTTAATTTTCAAAATTACAAAAAAAAATCATTTTATATTCACTTGGTAAACAAAAAAAATAGCCTTCATTTTTTTTTTTTGCAATCTGATGAGAATGATATCCTGAATTAAATTCAAAAATGTATTGACAGATTCGTGATATTGTTGTTGGGTAATTATAAGTGTGTGTGTGTGTGTGTGTGTATGTGATTAAGATTGGAAAAAAGAGAAATTCAATGATGTTAGCCAAATGAATGAATGAATGAATGAATGAATGGCTAATGCGGTGGTTGTTGTTGTTGAATCAAATAATTAACAGTGAAAAAAAAATCGTGGCCATCATCGTCATCATCGTTGAAAGCGTACAAAAAAAAAATATAAATTTTTTTTTTATACATATCGATATATTATTGGCCATGAATGTTTTGGAACACGATAATGCAAAAATAAAAGAATCAAATTACAATGCAAATTATACATACAATTAAAACTGACAATTGTACTGTCATTCATTCATCATGATCATTAAAAATGGATAAATTCGACCAATGTCAAGGAATATTTTTTTTTGTGTGTGTGTGTGTGTGAAAAAGAATTTTTTTCCTCAATTTAATTCAAATTAAGAAAAACTATAATCTAGTGTTAATGATCTTAATATTAAAATTTTTTTCTTTTTTCAAAGGTTTTTGTCATCATCATTATCATCATCATCATCATCATTCATCAATTTGAAATAAAAGTCATTGATTCACAATCAAGTTCAATAATTGAATTATTATTGGATGATTCATACATGGAAATTTATTTAACACACACACACAGACACAGAATCTGAAGCATATAGGGCAAAAATCTGTGCATGTTATTTTTAAAAATAAGAGAAAAAATTTTTTCACCTTTATTTTTATTTAAAGGACATTGCCATCGACATAGAATTGTTTTATTATTCACCTTCCATTGTATATATACAATTAAATTAATACATGTTCGCACCACCAGAACAATGTACCGCTGTAATTATCATCATGATAATAATCATCATCAATTTCAATGAGAATAAAAAACACACGTGGATGCATACAAACCAGCCTTTTGGGAGTGGAGATACTACTGTATAGTAATGGATTAAACATTCATGATGATGTTCTGTAATCATTGATTTTTTCATTGTCAAAAATAAAATTTTATTTAAAAAAAAAAATTTTGATTTTAATTTCAATTTTTGTTTTTCTTAATAATGACTAAAAAAATATATATATAATATATATGGTCATGGTATGATCATTAAGTATAATATAGATTATTTAGTATTCTTTCCAATTGTTTCAAGTAGATGAAGACCAATAAACACTAATGATTGTAGCCGTGAATCCATACGCATTTTTGTATCAAATAATAATGGATCCAATTTTTTTAAATGATTACATTGATCGGATGTGTCATCAAAATCGCCACATAAAAATCTTTGTGTATCACCACGTGATGATCGTAATAGATCAACAGCAAATTCACGTTGTTGATCATTATTGATACATGGTAAATCATTGATGAATTTCTCTTCGCATTCAATCCAATCACCATAATGACTATGGAAGGTAGGTAGTATGATCATTAAATTAAATTCAAATTTATTTTTGTAAAAAAATCATTCGAAAAAAAACACTAACCAACAACCACGACGAATTTTTTCCTTATCATCACGATATTGCATTATATGTTTAGTTTGATTTTTAAATATGGCCAAACATTGAAAATCACGTATTCGTCGATTAATACAAGGAGCGGTGGCAAATAGTTTTGTTATCATTGTTAAACGTTTATTATTACGTTTGGAACAAAGTAATTTTGAATTTTTTCTTAAACTATATAGATAGATTTTTGCTACATGTCCTAGTTCACGTTCACAGCATTGTTTCATAAAATTTTCCATTGAAATTGTCATATTTTTTGTTTCACTTAATAATGAATAAAAGTAGAATAGAAAAAATTAAAAATTGAATTGATTTTTCAAAAATAGAAAAAAAAATGATTTAAACATACTTGCAAAATTGTTCCAATTCAGCATTGTTTGTCGGTAGAAAACGGCCACGTTTACCAACGTTTGCTAAACGTGATGCATAAAGATCAATTTGTTGTGCATATTTCATTGAACATTTTGATTTGGTTTCATTCGAAATACAAGCTGCTTGAGTTTGATGATTCGATGAATTGAATGAAATTATCATAAATACAATAATCATATGATGTAAAAATTTTGTATTCATCGGATTCGATCCATATCCAAACATTTTCATTTTCGAACACACAAATATATCGATTCAAGTATGAAAAAATTTAATAATTCAAGGGTTGTTTGCAATGATTTTATATCAATGTTCTCTGATTCCAATCAACTCTCATCGATAATGTTTTTTGTGGATCGATATCACACGCAAACACGCACAGGTAGTGTAGTGTGCATTTCTTCTTTTTTTTTTTTTTATTCACAAACACACACACACACACACATCCTGAAAAAGTGATCATTTTAAACCTTCAAATTTTTCAATATTTTTTTTTACTGAATCTACCAAAGAAAGAGAGAGGGAGAAGTGCTAGAACAATTTAGTGGAAATTATTTTAATTGAAAAATGAATTGATTAAACGCAAAGTAAATATTTATTATCAAAGATCCGGTTTTTTCCTTTTAAAATTGCCAATTTTTTTTTTTTTTGATTTCGAAATTCCATTATTGCATTCAAACAAGTTTATTATCAATAATTGGGATGTGTGAAAAAAAAATTTATTCGTTTTTTTTGGACAAGAAAAAAAAAATCCAATCTCAGGCTAATGAATCGAATAATTCTAATGCTGCAATCATGAATGAATTAAATCGTTTATCTATTTTAATTGATGCATTTCGACGATTAAAATCTGGTTCATTGATTGTATCACAACGATCCGTTTGTTCATTATAATCACCACAAGCAAAATTTAATGAATCTTCATTCATTGAACGTATTAAATCAATCCATGCATTACGACCTTCCTGTTGTGAACACGGTAATTGACTATAGAAACGTTCTTCACATCGTAACATTTCTACATAATAGCTAGAAATATTGATTCGATTAGATAATAATGAGAAAAAGAATTTGAAAAATTTTTAAAATTTTAAATTTTCAAAATAAAAAAAAAAAATTTAAAAACCTTACCAACACATAAAATTTATTTTATCTTTACCAATATTTAATGGTATTAAATTTTTTGTTTGATTAGTTACAATAGCTAAACATTTATCATTGGAAACGATTCGATTATGACAGGCAGCATTTGCCAACATCAATGTTAAACGACGATTTTTACGTTTTGAACACATTTGTCTAGTCATACGTTTCAAACCAAATATAAACAATTTAGCAATATTACCATTTTCAATTGAAAAACATTCATTTGTAACTTTTTCCACATATCTGGTCATTTCAGTTGTTTCACTATATATATATACAATATATATGTGTAGATTTAAATAGATTACAAATAATTAGAAAAAAAACATGATAAAAACAATAAACTCACCGACAATATGATCGTACTTCATCAATATTGGCTGGAAATTTTCGTCCCATTTTACCTATGGTCATTATTTTCATAATATTTCGATCGAATTTCAATAGATTTTGATCATTACAATTAGATTTTTGTTTATTTAATAAATGATGTTTACAATTAATAAAATCTATGATGATAATTATTAAATAAATAACACGAAACATGATAAACGTTGACATTTTCATACGATGATGATGATGGTGAATGGATATAAAATCAAGCCAAAAAAAATAATTCAAATTCAATAGAATTCGATCCAAACACAAGCATTTCTTTTTTCGATATATACAAATAAATAAGAATCCTTTCAAAAAACATAGAAAGCAAAATATTCTAAACAGGTTTTTTTTTTGGTATGTGTGTGTGTGCGAGTAAAACATGAAATTTTATCTGACTTAGTTGATTGCTATTGGCGATAATAATGAATATAATGACAATGAATATATTAATTTAAAAAAAAAATAAACGGTATAAATCAAGTTCGTAAATGTAAAGAAACAAAAAAAAAACATTGTGTACTGGTACAACCTGAAAAATTTATACTTTAAAATGAGAATAATTATTGCTTTTTGCAAGAAAATTACTACGATGAAAATATATCATCATCATCACAAGTTTGCAATACTTCAATTGAAGTGGATGGATTTCCTCCTGAATTAAATCGTTACATTTTTTTTAATCTACATACTATCAATTTATGATGAACTAAAAAAAAAAATATCAGAAATTTCTCAGGAATTACTAATTGGAAATGAAATTGGAAGAAAAGTAAAAAAAAAATTAAAAAAATGGTTGATTGATAATCTAATATTTTTCTTGGAAATGTATTTTATTTTTTCTGACAGAAGCTTGCAATCAATGTTTGAATATTTGAAATGGATAAAGAAAGAGAAAAAAACCCAAATTGACCTTGTATAATCATCAGTATATTAAATGGAAAAAAATTCTAGTTTGAATGAAAATTAATTCAGTTTTGGGAAATTCGAAATAAATTTTTGTTGTTATAATTCAATTTTCCTTTTTTCGATTGTAAATATTATAAGATTGTGACAAAACATTTGTCAATATCATCAATATAGCAAAAACAAATGAACAATAAACAAGATATACAATGTACAAGTAAAAGAGTGTTGATAATTTATTACATTCAATTAATTTTCCACAAAATTTCGATCGAAATTCTTTTCAGCATCACTATCGTCTTTATTATTGTGAACGGCAGTTGTTGACCCACTAATAAACCCATGATCACAATTTGGAAAATTTAATGCTCATTGTTGATAATTAATCTTTTCTTTTTTTTTTTTTTTGCTTGTTAAATGTTCGAACAAAGTGTTTCATTTCATTTCATTTTTTCTTTCAGTTACATCATCACCATTTGTGGTGATGAAATTGAATGAATTCATTTTCAAACTATAGATGGTGCCACGTAAATCATTATTTTTTTTATTGAAAATTTTTCAAAAATCACAAAATCAATTTAAATCTATCTATACTATATATTTGATCTAAACCATACGATATGAATAAATGTGTTGAAAAACAAAACAAAACAAAACAAAAAAACAGAATTATCCGAATGAAACTTTAAACAGAAATATGTTTCGTGATTTTGTTTCATAAATTATACAGAATCATATATATGCCATAATGGACCGAAAATTACTATTCCATTAATCAAAAATAAATTCATATTGCCTTTGACTGTGTGTGTGTGTTTGCTTGTTTAAATGTTTGTTTAATCATATCATCATCATATCAGATTATGATATTATTATTTTATCTTCGTAGTGTGATGCCAGTGTGTGTGTGTGTGTGTTGGAAGTGGTAAATATATTTATGTGTGATATGAAAACAATTGAAATGATAAACAAAAAAAAAATCCAAACATAAAATGATCACCATCCTTCATACTTCCTGTTTCCATTCTGTTCGTATAATAAGATGTACTTGTAATAAGTGGAATAATAGATAAGTAGTAGTGTTATAGTCACTTTCTGAATGACTGGAGTTTTTTTTTTTTTTTTGCTGTTGTTGACTCGAATTTATCACTGGATATTTTTTTTTCTTCTATTTCTAGCCAACAGAGAATGAATATAAATGGTATTCACAAACATACAATTCCAAAAAAGAATTATCCATATTTCAATCGTAATAATAATAATAATAATAATAATAACAACAACAACAATGATGATGATGATGATGAGATTCTTGTCGAGCTGAAATGATCATCATCATGAAGATGATGTAAAGAGAACAAAAAAAACAATAAAATAGAAAAACCTTTGCCGCATCGTTGATTTTTTTTTCATTCATTCATTTCATTTCATTTTTTCCATTTATTATATCAATGAATTTTTTCTAGATTCGGTAGATGAGTTTTTTTTATATTTCGGGTCGAAAACATTTATACACACATACGACATTCAAGTGTGTGTGTGTGTGTGTGTGTCATATTTCTAGAGTGACAATGAATCGAAAGTTTTTTTTTCGAGAGAGAGAGAGAGAGAGAGAGAGAGAGAGAGAGAGAGAGAGAGAAAAACAATCAAAAAAAAGTTTGAGTTAGTTCGCGCGATACCATAATGAGAGAAAGAAATAAATATTTTGTATTTTTGTTTTTGTGTTCCAAAGAAAAAAGAAAGGGAAAAATCACACAGAATTCATTCAAACATTCTAAACACACAGAGAGTGATATTTTTCACCAGAAACAAAGACCAGAAATTACCCCTCTATAGAGAGAATGAGAGAAAAACTCTAAAATAATCGGTGGTTAACCAAGTGTGTAACTGATAAATTTTTTTTTTCGCTAAAAAAGTTTCAATTTTTTAGCGAAAAAAATGAATTTTTCAAAATTTCGATATTCATTCATTGCTCATGAGATTTATTCGATTGAAAAAATAATTGTTTTTTCTTTGTTTTTTTAAAGAGAATTCATTTAATTTTTTTCAATTTTTTTTGTTTTAAGTTTTTTTCATTCCATTAGCCAATTTTTGTTTGGTTTTTTTTGTAATGATACACAATTGTCATATTTTCATTATTATCAAATCAAATTTTTATTCAGAAATTCATTTTGGCTGCTGTTATCAATTAGTTGAGTTTGTTTTCATTTTATTTTGGCCCATTTTGCTATATACACAAACATTAGGCTAATCGATTTCAATTTACAGAAATGTGTTTTTAATTGATTTTTTTGTTGTTGTTGTTGTTGTTGTTGATGTTTTTCTTTATTTTTAAGTCGATTTGATCTGTTTTTTGTTCCGTCTTTCTGGTGAAATACAGTGTGGTATTTTTTTTTTCTTCATCTGCCAACAAATAATATGGTCATGATTCATTCCCTGGAATTTCAAGTCACTGAAATTCAGCCTGTGATGGACATTGACTTTTTTTTGGTTTTATATGGTACATTTTGGTTTTTTGCCATTTCTTTATCAACTAGACAGCAGGAAACAATGAAAAATTTCAATGACAATAATGAGGATGGTGAAAATTTTTTTTTTTTTTTGGGTGCGACAAAAAAGAAAATCCCAAAAGGATATCAATTAGCGTTTTTTTTCTGGTAGAATCGTAGAAAAATAAAGAATTGAATTTATTTATATTTGACCTTATTTTTTCCAGCATCGTTCATTATTATTATCATTATTGTTGTTGTTTCTAAAAAGAAAAGAAAAGAAAATTAACTACCAAGTTAAATTAAACTAGAAATAAACCTACCATGATCATCAACATCATCGTAATCATCACAAAGGCCTTGTTGGTGATGATGATGATATTTTTCAAGTATCATCGTCATCATCATCATCATCATCAGTATTTTTGTCTGTGCAAACAAAATATGATAGAATAAAATTCTTCACCATTTCAGTAATGATGGCGTGATGTAATTCCTTTTTTTTCATTATGAATGATGATGATAGCGTCGGCAACCACTTGATTTATAAATCAGAATGTTGACTGTAGGTACTTTTCAAAGTAAAATAATCGTGAATGCATCATAACTGTAATGTTCATTTTCATATTATTATTATTATTAGTTGCGTGATACACTTGTATGTTGGATTCTTGTGTTTTCAGACTTCTGAAATAGATTGATGATGATTAATACCGGCTAAATTGTTGCTGAATGTTGCTGTATCGGTGGTGGTCAACATTAATGATGGTGATGTTGTTCCCGATTGTTGTTGTTCAATATTGGAAAATGTTAAATATGATGCCATTGATGATTGTGGTAATGGTGGTGATGTTGATGATGGTATTAGTTGTACATTACCACGATCGACAGCAAGATCAAGAAACCCGGATGTACCCGGAGTAGCCGGTTGATATAGAAATTCAGTAGTCATTGGCGGTTGTTGTTGTTGTTGTTGTTGAATTAATGGATTTAAAAGATTCATTGTTGTCGTTTGTTGTTGTATCATTGATGTTGCCGGTGATGTTGATGATGATGGTGGTGATGATACAAAATCACGATAAATCATCATTTGATGTCTTGTTGGTTGTTGTTGATAATGATGATGTATTGGATTATTCGATAAAATTGAATCTGTTGGATGATGATGATTATTATTATTGGAAGTATTGGAACGGGTTGTATCCAATATGAAAACACCGGTAGAATAATCGTCCAATGGAAATGTTTCCGTAAAACCTGATTCATGAATAATGAGAGAATTTTTCTCAAAAAAAAAATAATAAACATTAAAGACTTTACCTGAATCAAGAATTCTCGCCTTTTCACCATCGATTTTATTTTCATTATCGCTGCCATTATTACAATTACCATCATCATCATCACTGAAATTATCATTCAATTTTCCTTGATCAAATAATGATTGATTCTGTTGTTGTTGTTGTTGTTGCTGTTCTTGTAATTGTCTTTGATGTAATTCAATTAATTTATTACGTTTACGACGATATAAACATAAACCGATTGCAATCGATAATAATGTTGAAAATGCTATCAAAACAATAGTGAATATGATGATGATAATCAATACGAAACGATTCTGGCTAGTTGTAGAATTCTGACCAATACCTAGGCCAAATTCATTATTAAGGATATCATCATCGATATTCGAATGATGATCATTATGATGATGATGATGTTTATCATGATGATGATTCGATGATGATGACAATGATACTGTTGTAGAAAATGGACCATTAAATGGATTATGATGTGAATTTTGTTGTTGATGTAGGTCTGCTTTACCCATTGTCATTGATGGTGATGATATCAATGAATCATCATCAACATCATCATCACCATCAGCGTCGTCATATTCCGGATAATCAAAACTATTCATATCCGGCCAATCATCGTATGATGATAATGAAGGTGAATATGGTGAAGGCCATTCAAACGTATTATGATGATTATAATCATCAACATCATTACTATAAAAGCCATTCATTCCGGATGTTTTGCTCATCTTCAAAGTTTTTGTCGTCGTCGTATTGGCGGTCATTTTGATAATTATTCTGGTCTACGATTTTTGTTTGAATCAAAAAAAAAAGAATTCATTTTTAAAAAGTTTTCTTTTCAAAAATCAGAATTATATACACACTTACTTGATCACTAAAACCAAAATCATTTGAAACATAAATAATAGCTTCGTAAACAGAATTCGCCCGTAGATTTGATAATAAAAATATCGGTTCAATAGGATTTGATTGATTGGATATGAAAATTGGCCATCGGTTCTTAGAGATTCGAGTTTTCATATCTTTTTTCAATTGATTTGAATCGTGTGATGATGATAATTCTTTTAAAATCAGATGAAATTGTAGATTACGATCGGCAATATCATCATCATCAGTATCAACTTCATGGCCAATCGATGATTGATGATTAATCTTTGTCGTAGTTCGATGAAATATCGATGAATAACTGGAATAATTATAATGTCGACAACGAATCGATAGTAATGATGCGATCAGGAATGTTGTCGTACAATTTGTAACCGGATGTGGAAGTTTTGATTTTTGTTTCAATACATTACGTATGTTGGTGGTTGTATTTTTCCAAACTGATTTTTGATGATTACGTTGTTGTTGGTTACCATCAACATCGAAATCATTGTTTGTCAGATTAAATAAACATGGTTCATAACGATTTGAACCGAAAATATTTTCTGCCCAACATTGATATAAACCAAAATCTATATTTGAACGTGGTATGATCGTCAATCGTGATCGTACATCATTCGATGCTAATGTTATACGACGATAATCATTAATATCTGGTTGTTGTTGTTCATCATAGCCAACATTATCATTATTATTATCATCATCATTAAGATCATGCAGATCAAGTAGATCGGCAACTTGTTCATCAAATAAACGATTTTCATCATCATTTGTATATGATGACAATATTGGTGGTGAAAATTTTTCCCGTAATTTCCGGAATTGATCAAAACGTTTCATTGGTATTCGTAATAATTTTCCATGATGATCTATTGTCAATATATAATGATTATTTGGTAATTGCCAATAAATCCATAATCGATCATCAATCATCATCGATGATGATGATGATGATGGCATTGTAGCATCAACTTGACAGAATAAATTTGCCGGATAATTGATTACCGAATCAATCTTTGTCACATGTGTTGATGTTGTTGTTGATGATAAACTCATCGTCGTAGTAGATGACGATGGATTCTTCGTTGATGATGATTTAAAGGCACATTTTGGTGGTCCTATTTTTAATATTACAAAATATATTTTATCCAAAATTCATAACGATGATGATAATGATAATGATGATGAAATGATATATCGAATCAATAAACCGGAAAAAAATAAAAAAGAAGAGTTAAAATTGTTAAATAATGGGGAGGAAAAATGTAGAATGATGAATGAAATGGACGAATTTTGTTTTCTGCATATAAATTTTCTTTTTTTTTCATTCATGCAAATTTTTGTAGAATATTCTGTTCATTTATTTATTCTTGCCGTTGTCATTATTATAAATTTTTTTTTCATTTGCCATCATCTTATTCATTGCAAGTTTTAAAGAAAGTAATATGATCTTAGTGTGAATTTTTTTTCACAATTTGTTTTTTCTTTTTTTTTCTAAAACAAATTATCACAAATTATATAACGGCACGCGGCAGCAACAAACCGCATAGACACGTCATCACCAAACATGCAACAAAAACTACAATGGCGACAATAATGACGCCCATTTGAATTCATAATTTGTTTTACCAACAACAAAAAAAAAAAAAATAAAATAAAAACCGACAACTACGACTTATAACGAATAAGAATTTTTTTTTGGATCGACGAACCAGAAACAGGAAAAAAATCTTTTTTTTTCGTTAAAAGATGAAGAAAAAATTTATTCAATTAAAACATAAATCCTTTGTTCAGTATATATGTTGAAACAGAAAGAGTAAAGAAAAAAAAATTCGCACACAACATACACACATTTTGGATATTGAGAAACAAAACGCCCACGCCATTTGTCATCATCATCATCATCATCATATATAATTAGCCAATATGTGTTCCAAATGGAATATAAATATTGGTTTATTGGTGAGGGAAAAATAAATTCAAGCAATAAACCAGAAATGAGAAAAAAAATGAAATTCATTAATAATTCCAATTTTCATCATCATCATCATAATAATCATTTTCGTTTGCATTTCCTTAATTCTTTTTCCGCTTTTATTCGAATAAATATAATATATTCTTTGTTCTCTCAATGTATTTGTATTTGCTTTGTGTCTGTGAATGAATCCATTTCAATTCAATTTGATTTCAATTTCATCATCATCATCATTTTTTTGCTTCGTTCGACGCCGTCATATATATTGCATAATATATATGAATTTCGGATTTTTTGTTATTAGTATTATGATTATATAATGCAAGTACTTTTGCTTGGTGTAAATTTGGCAACAAATAAGCAATTTAATCAAATAGGAAATAGGAATAGGATTCTGGATTCATTTATACATATGCACAGGATTTATTATCATAATCATTGAAGATGCTTTCTCTTGGGATTTTTTTTTTATTTGAACAACATTATAATACGACCTTTTTTTCTTGGATAGATACTCAATTCTATTAATTCTTCTTCTTCTTCTTCTTTTCAGATCAAACAGACACCAACATACATACATCAAATGTGACATTTTGATCAGAGAAAGATTATGGAGAGAATTTAGTAAAAAAAAAAATTTTTGGTCAAACATCATTGCCTCATTCTGGCTCCAGATTCGTTATAGTTAGTCTATTTATTTCATATTACAAAAAAAAAATTTCTTTATCATTTTTAAGATTTAATATAATTAAATTTCTGAATTTTTTTTCTTACTTTGAACAAAAACAGAATTATAATTTAAAACAAAGTAATGATAATTATATATGATATCATTCTTTCAACTAGAAAAAAATAGTAACAATTTGTGATGATGATTAGGATTCCCATGATATATCATCATAATCATTATTATCTGGTGGTTTCAAGATACACATACTTGACTTGTACAAATCCAATGAAAATGAAAATCAGACTGATGATGATAATGATAATGAAAAAATTAATTATCATTAGAGATAATAAGTCAAATGTACACGGAAATTGTTATATGAGATACCTAAACATTACAGGGTATATTATTTTAATCATAGGAATAAAAAGAAGAAAGAAATTCCTGAGATAAAAAGCATCATAAATCATAACAGGTAACTAATTTTCTTTTCGTCTAAAAAAAAATCATAGAAGAAAGTATCTGAGAATTCAGAGAATCGAGTAAGTATAATAAGATTTTCTTCAAGAAAAAAGTATTCTTCATTTTGTATCATTGATTCAAATAGCCACAATTATGGTCAATTATCGTGAAATTATCATCGATTGGTTGTTGAGAAAACTTTTTTCTTTTTTTCACTCCGTAACAAATTATTATTTATTATTGACAATACACAATTGGTGTGAGAATCCAAAATCAGTCAATTACATGTTCAAGTTATTATCAACACAGCAACAACAAATTAAACATACATAAGGTGTGAAAGTGAAATTGAAAAATAGGAAAATCGCCAGAAATTTTTTTTTTCAAAGGAAAATCACAATTTTTCCAATGATAATTATAATTTGATTTTTCTCGAATAGATGGATTCTGCAATTTTTTTTTTTTTTTTTTTTTTTGATACGATTTTTCATCATCTGGAAAAAAATAAAGAATCAAATGCGAAAAATAAATTTGAATTTTGTCTTGGTGATCGAATTAAATCTTTTGAAGCTTAACGTCAGAACCATTACCAAGTAATGAGACAGAAATTCTCGAAACATTAAAAAACACAGAGAGAGAGAGAAAGAAAGAATTAAATGTGACAAAAACATCGGTCCAAATTCTAAACACACATACATTCACACACACACACACACAATATATAAAAACTTGTATAAGAAATCGATTCATTTTTTTTTTCTTTCAGTTATTCGTTAGCCGTAGAACAAATCTTTGTTGTCGTAGTTCGATCGAATTTTTTTTTCATTTTATTTCTGTAACTTTTTTCCCCATCTCGAAAGGATCGAAAAACAACAATTAGTCATCAGCATCAGTATTTTGTGAAAACATTGGAAACCAACTACTACCACCAACTACTAACGATGACAATGCATTTGTTTATTGTAAAACATCATCATCATCATCGTTCATCAAATCAATCAATATCAATAAAACTATGATGATGGGCACATGCGCGACATCAACAAAAAGGATTTGAATTGAATGTAACCCAAAAAAACCTTTGTTGAAAAAAAATAATGATAAAATAATTCATTTTTCTTTCAATGACAAAAAAAACACGAAAACAATGTTTTGTGGCACTTTTATCCACTGTTTCCAGTGTGATAAATCGACTTGAAAATATAAATTTTGTTTTAATTGTTTCAATGTAGCAGAGGTGGGAACGTTTCGTTCATTCATTAACCCTTTGCACTCGGATGTCCCCGTACAGGGGACATTGTAATTCTAACATATAACTCGGATGTCCCGGTAGAGGGGACATTGTAATTCTAACATATAACTCGGATGTCCCGGTAGAGGGGACATCATGATTTTAACATATAACTCGGATGTCCCCTCTGATGGGACATTCAAATGTATTAGTGACTATATTAGTGAAAATTAGTGGGATCCACTTATTTTAGCACAACTTTTTGTGAAATGCATGTTTCTTTGAAGTTTTTTGTTGAACTTGCACAAGAAATCAAATCAACATATGGTACAAGTACTAAGGTACATTGGAAAAGAACGTGACGAGTGTCCTCACGATGTACAATTACATTTTCAGTGTATATTTACATGTGCATGACATTTATATATATTCATAGATTCTCGAATTCGAAAGAACTCAAGTGAAAGAACCACCCCCCCAAATTTCCGCGCCAAAACTAGCATAAAAAGGCTAGCGCAACGAACAATCATCACCTCTTCTCTCCATTGTGCTCTAATTTTACAGATAATCCACGCACTCTCTCTTGTATTTTCACTTGCTTTGATTTTTCTTCCCAATAAAATTTCATCATCGTTTTTCTTCAATCTGTGTGCTCGTTTTTCTTCTCCAATCTGTGTGCTTGTAAATTATTTTGAACAAGTGCAACAATTTCAATTCATCATCATCGACAACAACCACTGGATCAAAGTCGTTATAACAATTTTATTGGTTATTGGTGGGTAGTGACCGAGCAATTCATATAAATAAACAAGTTTTAAACATTGTGAAAAGACTTCAATCGTTACAATTCTGTAATAAGTGACCAAATCGGGAAAGTCTATCATTATCTATAATCTTGGTACCATTTTGTAAGTTAGTAATTTGGTATTTCAAACCAATTTATTTATCCTTTTTCATTAGAACAATGGCCAAACGATCAAATAAGAATGTGTCGCATGACATAAGATATTACACCAGCATTTTCTTGGTCGAAGAATTATTAAAAATGAACCTATGAATGAATATACACCTATCTAAATCAAAAAGCAAAGGTTTTCAACAAAAAAATTGTAGCTTATCGAAAAAATGGCATCACACTCCTCGTATTATTGTGACACTTGTCCCAACAAGCCTACGATACACATCGGTAATTGTTTCGAAATTTACCATACAAAAAAAATTATAAATAAAATATTTATTTTTTTTGAAAATATGTTTCTCGATATCTATAAATTCATATATTCTCGATGTCTATAAATTTATATAAACCTTACATGGCTCCAATAATATGATCTTTCATAATTGTACATTTTTGTCATAAAACAGCTTCGAGTAGCGGATGCACAACATTCAAAATAGTGTCGAGTAGCGGATGCACAACATTCGAAATAGTGCCGAGTAGCATATATGTAACTTTCGGTTTGATGCCGAGTGCAAAGGGTTAAAACTGAATGAAAAAGGTGAAAAAAAATAATTATGAAAAAAACACCTGGAATTTTGTCGTTTTTTTCTTTAGAAATACCTGGAATAAATCAAAATCAAAACAAAAAAAAAAAGTTTTAAAAATTACAACCAACCAACAATGGATGAAAATAATTGGAATTTTTTTTTATGAAAACTTTCTACTAAATATCCACTACTCACACACACACACAATTAAACAAATTCTAGAATTTTGTAAAAACAATACCGGAAAAAAATTCAATGCAAAAAAAAGTTTGAAAATTCTATGTGTGTGAACAAAAAAAAAAACAATGGTTGATTTTTTCTTTTACACAAACAACTTACGTAGAACAGAAATGATTAGCTCGGATGAATCACCACGGCCAAGTTTATTATATGCTGAACATTGATATTTTCCTTCATGTTTTCGACCTAGACTACCACCACCGCCACCACCGCCGCCGCCATCGATTAAAAGTGTACGATTTTTATCCAATAATTGATATTCTATAAAGCAAAAATGATGAAATTAATTTCTGAATAAAAATGTGTGGTTTTCGTTTTTTTTTTGCAATTCTCTTTTCTCTTACCATTCGATACGAACAACAAGGTGATATCACGATGATTCAATAGCCAACGAATACGATATGGTTCCGGATTCGAATCAATAATACAACGTAATTTTATACGATTTTTGACAAATACTTTCCGGTTCCTGTTATTACGTTTATTATTATTGTGGAATGTAGTTCCGGTAGTAGTAGTAGTAGTAGTAGTTGCTGTTTTTTTATCATACAATGTTCGATTGTTCAATTTCTGTTGATCGAATGTTGTTGTATTTGAATTCATTGTTTTAATATCATTATTATCAACGTTGACTATTCTATTCTGATGATGATGTTGATGTTTATGATGTTCCTGGATAGTCATCATCATCATCATTGAATTTCCATCGTATATTTCCATTATATCGATTGTTATGTTTGGTAAATCTATAATCGATATTGAGTAATACACCATAACAACAACAACAACAACAACAACCACAGAAACCAATAACCATCAAGTTATGTCGATCCAGAAAAAAAGGAAGAAAACATCGATATATCACGTATCCATAACCACAACAACATCAGCATCGGCAAAAGACGTTCCAAAGACGATCAAAAAAAAAAAAAAAAAAAAAATAGTGACAAGAAAACCAAAAAGAAAAAAAAAGAAAAAAAATTTCAATCAAATTGATGATGATAAAACAAAAAAAAACGGAAATCTTGCCAAACTTTAAAATTATTTTTTCCATACACATACACATACATGCACACACTTTATTAGCTCAAAAAAAAATCTGTTCATCGTTCAGGAAAAAAAGTTTCGAAATCATAATAATATCCTTCAATATTGTACATTTGCACGTTTCATTCATTCATTTTCATTCGAATTTGTTCACAATCTTTATTTTATAGAGAAATCATCAAATATTGTTTGGCAACGATTTCTCAGTTGATTTTCAGTGTGTGTGTGTGTGTGTGTGTGTCTAAGAAAAATGAGTAATAAGGAATCAAATAACAACAAAAACAAAAACATTTATAAGTTCTCATGAGCGTCTTAATAAGAATCATCTTAAAAATGCATGTGCGGTATATAAACAACTACTAAACATTTATGTTTTGAAAAAATTTTCCTGGATTTTTTTCGATTCTGTAATTCTAGATTGATGGTGATATACTTAAAGCGGCTGGAATTTTTTTTTTTCTCTCTCTCTCGTTTCTGACACTTTCCGGATTCGTGACTATGTATGAGTGATTCAATATTCAGTATCGAATCGATTATTAAGATAAATGATTCGAAAATAAAATTTTTAAACAAAGTTGTCATCTTCGAAGTGAAAGTAAAAAAAAAAATCTATCAATATGAATGAATCCAGATTAAGATGATTGAGAATCCATATTTATCGTTGATGTTTTAGAAGAAAAAATATTAGTTTCAATTAGCTTTTTAGTTTAAGAGTATTCATGTACCGAAACAGAATCAAAATTTGTAACAAATCTTTTTGATGTTTAAAAATGAAAATCATTTTTAAAGTTACAAAATTCTATGATTCTTGTTAAGTTTTCTCACTCGAAAAAAAAACAACCGAAAAAAGAATTGATTTTTCTTTCATATAATCAAAAGAAAAAACACTAAACTTACATTCAACAGTCAATGTAATTTGATCATAAACATAGAAATTAAAACGATAATTATGAATCATTGAGGTGATGGACGTTGTTGTTTTCGTTGTCATCGATTTCGTTGACGATAAAAAACGTGGTATATGATGATAATTATTATTTTGAACAAGTTGATAATGGTGTTGATAATCATTACCATCATCATCATCATCAATATTATTGCCACTACTATTATTATCAATATCACCATCAGAAGAATTGTCTATAATACAATAAAAAAAATTATAATGACCATCATTATCATATAGAATTCAGATTGTTATTATCGATAAAATTTACCATTGATATCGATCGTTGTTTTGGATCGATTCATGTTATTGCCATGATTATTATTGATATTGCCAATAACAATGTTGTTCACATCCTCATCACCATCACCACCATTTTGAGTATTATTTTGATTTTCAAGTTGTTGTTGTTGTTTTTCTACGTTTTTTGATAAATTTTTTTGTTTGTTGTTGAGATTCTGTGGACAATTTTTCTCGTTGTTCTATATTGATCCACGAATTTTTTTTACTATTCATACGATATGATGATGATTGTTGTTGTTGAAGAATTTCTGCAATGATTATCGTTTCGATTTTATTTGTATTCGGACGTTGATGATCATTTTGTTGTTGTTGCTGTTCCAGATTTAATTCGGGCTCAAAATCGTATGAATTCCGTAAACGTAAGGCAATACAAGTTAATTGACGACCATTATCAATTGATTGTAATTGAAAATGAACCTGTGATTTTGTCGTCATATTTGTATCGAATATAATTTCACTAATAAAAATTGTAGGCAGAAAAAACATTAAAATTAATTCAATAATTAAACATTTTTTTTTTAAAAAAAGTCAATTAATTAATAGCAACAGAATATTCATGCATAAAAGTCCTAAATATCTCAATTATCTGTTCTGAATTTTTTTCCAGACTCAATTCAAGAACCGAAGATAACAAAAATGTAAACATAATGGGCGTGTGAAACGGAAATTTGCGGAATTTTTTTCTCCCAAAGAATTTCCGGCAATTATTGTATACTAATTACAGATGAAATTAGTCTATATTGCAATTGTAGTTGAAAATTCGCAGTTTTTTTAATCTACATTTTTCTTCTTGCCATGTAATTTATGAATGAATGAAAATTTGAATAATAATCATGGTAATGATTTACCTAATATCCGATAATGGCCGATCATGTATGAACCAGAATATTTTAGCTGGTGGTTTCGATCCCCATGTAAGACATGTAGCATGTACCATACTACCAATGGTCATACCATCACGTCTTACATCAACAATCTGTGCTTTTGTTGGATTCACTAAAAAAATAAATTCAAATTCAATATGGAATTCAGCATCATCATCATAGATAAAGAGATACATACAATTAACATTAATTTTGAATAATTTATTCAATGATTTTGATTGAGGCACTTGTGGTGAATTTGTTGATTGACAACGAATGATTGTACCTTGATCCATACGTTCTATATGTCGTATAAATAATATGCTTAGTATTCGATGTTTTGAATTATTTTCAGATGTTGGTAATTTTTTTGTAACATTAAATAATGATGATGATGATGAATGTCGAATAATAATATGATCATAAATCGTTTGATTCTTAACAAGGCCAATATTGATCACATTGAATCGTGAATCATTATTTTCCATTGATGATGATGATGTTGATCTCAATGTAAAATTTTGCCATTGAAATATCGTTGAAGTCATTCCCATTGTATCTAATCGACGATTATTCCAATACCAATGTATTGTTGGTGATGGATTACCTAGCGATGAATAAAATTTAATGAAAAAAAAATCATAGATTAAAAAAAATTGAAGCCATAAAAAAAACTAAGCAATTTTGAAAAACAAAAAAAAACTGCAAAAACAAAAAAAATCAATAAATAAAAAACGAAGAAAAACATCAATCAGCTGGATAAAATTTTTCATTCGTTTTTTATATGGATAAGAAAAACACAGACATTATTTATTACCCATACACACACATACACCAAAATAACGGTGTTGAAATTGTCCGCACATATAATTATGTTTTCTGTGTGTGTCATCGTTTGTGCGTGTGTGTGTGTGTGTGTATGGATCAATTCCATTTTTCTTTCGTCACTAGATCACTAAAATCTTGTACCGTGAAACGTGAACAGGAGAGAAAATTCTTTTTTCGATTCTGATGATGTCATTTTTTTACACGGAGGGAGATGTGGTGAAAAAAAATTCGGGTGGAAGTAAAATTTTATTTGAGCTGATGGCCAACCATTCAAGATTCGGGATTCGAATTTCGATTCATCATTTATCATTGTGAAATCGATTGGATTCGATCGTTTCATTTCGGTTTTTTTATATATATATTTTTTTTAGCTTGAAATTCTGTTTGTTTCTTAAAGAATATCAGTCAGTTTGGATATCATTCATATAAGTTTGAATTTAGTGTTTTGAATCTAGGGAATATATTTTACTTTTTTTTCGTATCGAACCATTTCCAAAAAAAAAAGAAAAAAAACGATTTGAAAATTGGTAAGAAATTCGGAAAAAACCATCAATGCTGTGTGTGAGTGTGCTCACAATAGGTGGGAGTTTTGTTTTTTTTTCTCACTTTTTTCACTACTCACATTTCATTGGACGGGACTTCAATCGTATTGATCATCATTGATCAATCCGATTGATGAATTATTGATGATGGTTATTATTATTGAAAAAAATGATCAAAAAAATGAAAATTCATTAATTTCCATTATATTATATTATTTCAATTTGTTGTTACAAATGACGATCTCATAATGAAGCAAAGATATGAATATCTGAAGAAAAATGGTCGAAAATCAATAAAAAAAATCAGAATTTGAATATTTTCAGTTTGTTTGTTTGGATATGATAAGAATCTGAGCACGAGAAAGAGGCCAAAGTAAATAAGACTTTTACTTTTAGAATATTCGTTCTCTCATCATCATCATCTACAGAATATCTAATAGAATAAACAAATAATGATTATGATTATGATCCAATTGGATCGATCTTCTTCCAGTTGATTTTTTTTCTCATGATGATTGCGTGCATGTGGTTTTTTTGCACATTTAAAAAATTGATTTTTTTTTTTTGAATTGAAAATTTTCCGAAAACAAAAAAAAAAAATCGTAAAATTCACAAAATTCAACGATGGAAAAAAATTCGTGATGTAATCATCGAGAATTCAAGAATGAGAAAAAAATTTGCTTCAGAAAAAAAAACTTAAATATTCGTATAAATGCCCATCGCGTGAATGTTTGAATCGAATTCCCAGTTTAAAAACATTAAATGAATGGGAAAAAAAAGATTAAATCAGAAAGATGTTCAAGTTTCTTTAGATTTTTTCACGAATTTCTCGGCGAATTGTTTTGATTTTTGCCCATTTCAACAATGCCTCAAGCAAAAAATGAAAATTGATTCAATGGAATAGGAACAAGAAAAAACATCATACTATTCCACACCAATATATAAATGAATTTGTGAATGCCAAAAATCAGAAAAAAAAGCAAAACAAACTGCAGCAATTAAGAAATTCTTTTACAACTATAAAATGTGTGTCTATAATGCACGTAGGTGTGATCATCAAGATCATCATTATCAAAAACCAAACAACAACAACAACAACAACAATAACAATAGGTCTGTCTTCATTAAGAATAGATTCTTGTTTTGTGAAACACCAGAAACGAAAACCAAATCAAACTATATGTAATGAATGATGACAATAACAACAACAACAACAACAACAACAAAACATTCACGACAAATAAATTCAAACATGCAAGTAAGTAAACACACAAAACATATCATCGTATCAATGGAAAATAAATCAAGCCTAAATGAAAATAAATTAGATCACAACATATACACAACAACAACAACGACGACGACGACGACGACGACAGAAAAAACGATTCATCTTTAGAATAAAAAAAAATCCTGCTGGTAATGTTGTAAATATTACAATGTTACCAAAATGAATGAGGTAATGATCGTAAAGAGAAAAAAAAAGAATATAGATGTAATCAGAATCAGAATCATTATTTAAGAAAAAAAAATTCGAAAAATGTTTGAATCACCTGTAAAAAGAGTTGTTGTTGATAGTAAAGTTTTGTTTTATTGTTGAAAAACTTTGGTTTATGAAAATTTTGCTATGATATATTAACAATTGCGACAAGTAAACGGCTATATATATGATGATCATAATCTGAAAATTCATCTATTCATTCATTCTGTATGTTTGTGGGTGTTATATATTAATCGGGATAATTTCTTTGGCGCTTTTCATCAATGGTTTTGTTATATTTCATCAATAATCATTAGTAAAAGTGAAAGAGAGAGAGAGAGAGAAATAGTGTTGACTAGGCTTGTATTGTTCAAAGACAATGTCCCAAGACATATATTTGTGAAATATTTTCCTTATTATGTTTCCTGGCTGCTTTTTCATTGCTATACATTTGTTTTGTTGTTGTTGTTGTTGTTGTTATCATTTTATTATTGCTGTTGTTTCGATACATTTTTTTCTGGTTTTTTTTTGAAAAAAAATAAAATTATATACATCTGGTGTTCATCATCTTATCAACAACAACAATGATGAAAATGCCAGAAGAAAATACAAAAATTTTTATGAAAAAGTTTTTTATACATCAAAGCTCGGGGCTTTATATTTGTGTGTGTGTGCAAGTGATGTACTATAGTGAAAAAAATAGCTAGACTGAATATTGACACAGGTCATATTGATGATTGAACAATAACAATGACAAACCGGTGTTTTTGTCACTGTTGTTCGATGATGGTCATCGCATAAACAATAACATCATCCAATTATGTTAGAATAATAATCAAATGATGAAAAAACAGAAAAGAAAACGAAAACGATAAACATCAAAGACTCTTGAATGTCATGGAATAAAATAAAATATCAGAAAAAAAAAAACATTGACTCATTGGATATAATATATGGATCGATCTGGTCTATTGGATATATGGTGGAATATCTAAAATAACCGAAAACATGTTTATGTTTGATTTCGTTTAGGTTGACATAGAACACCAAAGAATATATATATACCCGCAAACATACACATAATACAAACCGGTAAATGTTATCGTTCCATCACACTAACTTACAATAATTGGAATAAAAAGGAAAATCTTGTACCTTATGGATGAATAGAAAAAAAAGACAAAAAGATTTATTTGATTCTCACTTGGATACATTATTATCTTTTCCCTGCACTAGACAATGATTTTAAAAACAACAACGTTAAATGAAACATTCAACACTACAGGTGATCTAACCGTAGAAATGCGATGCGACGAAAACAGAAAGTTTATTATAATAATAATCCAATATATAACAAAAAATATTCAGATTTTTTAAACAAAAAACAAAAACAAAAAAAAACATTAATATTTTCATCACTTTATTCAGAGAAAAATTTCATTTGGTTTTTCATCTAAAAATGATGATGATGATAATAAATTTCAATTCATTTTTTTTTTTGCTATCAAGTTTTGTTATTGATTATTTGTGTTACTGTTGTTGTTGTTGATTTCAAGTTCAATTTGTTTTTGAACCAAAGAACAAAACGAAAAAAAAATCGTGAATCAAATTCTTATTCGATATATAGCAAAAGATCGCTTATAAGTGGATTATGTTTTCAGAATTTGTTCTGTTTTCACACTCACACACACACACACACACCGATCGACAAAAACAAAACAAAAAAGGAAAAAAATCCCAAAAAAGATCAAGACGAAAAAACGTTTTCATAAAATATGAAAAATATAACCTAATCTCTTTTCAGCTCCTCCTGACCAAACTCAACTAAAGATAAATAAATCCTCCCCACCCTTCCCCCACATACACGTTTCATATTTGTTATAAATGGCAAGAGAGAGAGAGAGAGAGAGAGAGAGAGAGAGAGAGAGCTTATATAATCATCATATCATTTGTTTCAAAATTCAGCCAGTCACACATACACAATGGATACAATGTGTGTATTGGATGGAAACGTGAAACAGAAAAAAAATTAATTTAATTCAATCCAATTTAATATCGTTGTTGTTGTTGTTGTTGTTGATGTTGAGCTCAATATTAGGTTGGTTTTATGTTCATTGTATGTGTGTCGAGGTATTACGATTTGTTCTATTGTATTTTTTTTTGTTTATTCTGTTTTGTTTAGAAACAGAATTCACAGTTTTTTTGGCATTATTTTCAGACTTAAAAAATTTTTTTTTTCATCTTTTTATAAAGCCAAAAAAAAAGTTTGTCAATACACACAACACACCCTTTGTCAAAGCTATTTGTTATTATTATTTTTATGACCAAAAAAAAAAAAAACAAAAAATAAAATTTCATCACATAACCAAAAAAAAAAAAACAAATAAGTGCCAGATAGCGAATCGAAAAAAAAAATACCCGAAACACACTGGTTGTTGTTGTTGTTGTTGGTTCACAATCGTTTCATCTCCAATAGGTTCTGTTTGTTTGTAACAAAAACAAAGAAAAAAAAAGTTCCAGAATCCTATAGGATCTTCTCATAGTCGATAAGGCGACAACAACAACAACAACAACAATAGCAGTGAAAAATGAAAGAAAAAAGCCAGAATTAGATGGTGGAAAATGCATTTTTTTTGTCCATTTCTGTATTATATAGGTATATATCTCTGTCGTTTATCATTTGTTATTTATTCTTATATTTTTGGTTTGTTTGTTTATTTCAAAAAAAAAGTTTTGACACAATGTATGTGTGTAATG